CCAATGAGTGTAGATGAGTGGCCAGCTGCAATCAATCATATCACGTGCTCCTCTCGAAATTAGTTTGTGAAACTTCATTTAACGATCTTTCTGAATGACGTCCATTCAGCTTGTGGTAGAAAAAACAAGCCACATCCACTGTTTGCTTATTTAAAATTCTGTTTCTGTAGGAAATGCATCACATTATGAAAAGAATTATGATCGCAGCTTCTAGTTTATTGGGACTTCAATATTTCCCTAATAACCTAGTTTGTTTTCAACAGAAGAAAAAATAAATGTTATAAAGAATTAAATTTTTAGGTGAACTATTCCTTTAAGTGATAATCCTGATAGTTTACTGTACAATAACTAAACTAAACTAAACTAAACTTAACTAACGAGGATTAAATCTATATTATTTCATAGTTAATTTATGGTGCAGACCTAGCAAACCAGGAGGACTGTACTACAGTACATGAACACAGCATGAGATTGTCATTTTTTCCCATTAGTTATAAAGATGCATTTGTCTTACTTACAAATGGCAGAAAACAATTCATGTTAGTACTTTTTGTATTGCTTTAGGTTTAAAAATAAAAGTCTAAAAATAGTATACGTTTAGTAATTTCTTTATTTGTTTATTAGTGTTTAGAGTTAGTCATTTTTGTATTTCCACTTACACACATTTTATTTCACTTAGCTTAAGCAACATGTCTAATGTAAAATATGTATACAAATATCATAGAAAATATGCATTGAAACTGTGGAAATGCCCTTACTCATGCTTTAAATGTTCAAACCATTACAGCTTGTCATTCATTAAATTATTAAATATTTTCTTATATTTTTCAGTTGTTTAATTATGTATGTTGTTTTTATTTTCTATTTTATAATTTGTATTATGTGACATTATTTTAAATTGTTCGTTTTTATAAATAGTTATTTTAAGAATTGTTTTTACAGCTTCTTTGTTGTACTTAAAAAAATCATATAATTGTTCAAATATTTATTTATTAATTAAATAAAATGGTTGTTTTTGAAGGATGCATGGTGATAGTTGTATATAAATGACTGATATAGCTCTTTTGCTGCAAGAATTGACCTGTCTTTGTCATAAAATATGATTTTAAAATGCTTATTGACAGTTATAAGGGTCAGCAGGACTGTTTTATCCACTTTTCTTCCTGCTTAGTGACTTTGCTTGTTGTCTGCTCCACATGAGTTCTCCACAAAACCCATGAAGCGCCATAAAAAGCTTCATTATAAGCCGCCAACAATCTGACAAACCAACCGCTGTTTATTTGATCAAAGTTTCTTCACCTCATATAGTATGATGTACGGCAGCGAGCATCAAATGAGAATTTCTTAATATGCTTTCGCTCCCCTGGTTATCAAGATTTAATTTGACATCATGAACTCCTAATCTTCAATCTCATTTCAAGGCCAATGGAAAAAAAGTGAAGAAATAAAGAAACATTAAAAAATAAAGGCTCCAGGACAAGTTTCAGGAATGGCATGTGAAAGCTCCCGAGGGAAATTAGGCGTACAGTGAGTTTCTAGTACAGACCAGATTTAAAAAATGATGCCATTATACTGTTATTAACCTAATCAGTTGAGAAGACCTGGACTAGACCTGAGCCGCTATCTAAATTTACTTTAGTCACTGAGGACTTTTCTCGGAGGCAGAGAAACTGGAGTAAAGGCTGAATGCAGGTCAAGCTCAAAGGAAAAAAAATGTGTCTGAGGATTAAAGATGATCTCTATATTACATCATTAGGACTGATTGTTGAAATAATGACTAATAAAGTAGGCCTAGATCTTTGTGATGCTGCTATCACATCATTTGTGTCACATAAAGAACCTTTAAATTAGAACACTGGGATAGTAATGTAAGTATTTTTGAGTTAGAAAGGTCTGGGTGTTAATGATTATTGGTTCTGAAGCTCTTTTTGTTGGATGTAGTAAAATTAGTGAGACTTTTAGTTCATTACCATAAAAACATAATACCTTCACAGCAATTCATTTCTGTGTGCTAATTATATATATATATATATATATATATATATATATATATATATATACTGTCTCTACTGGCCCGCCTGCTTCTGACTCGGCTGGTAAACCAACAGCACAATGTGTTTCGACTAACTCTACGTTTAATGTAAGTAAAAACATTTCATTAGTGCCATTATTTAGAGAAATGGAAGTGGACAGTTATTTTTGTGTGTTTGAGAGAATTGCTGCTTCGTTGAGCTGGCCAAAAGAAGTGTGGACATTGCTGTTGCAATGCAGATTAGTTGGGAAAGCTATGGAAGTGTTTTCCACACTGTCTTTGGAAGACAGTTTGAAATATGAAGTTTGTCACGTGACTTACATTTTACACACAAGTAGTAGATTTTTTTTGTTATTCCACTAGGTTAGAGGCGGGTGCTACCATATGTATGTTTGTTCCAGTCAGTGCAGTTGAGTAAGGGGCGTGTGACGCTGAAGATGTTTTTTTTCTTATTTACATATTTCTCTTTAGTTATTTAGAGGTGGGGGAGGGATTAGTTAGCGGGTGTTTAATTTGTTATTTTCTTTGATTTGGCACCGCTTATTCTCCTTCCCTCCATCAGGTATTTTTGTTTACTTTTTGCATTTGTATTTTGTTTTATTGTACATATTTGTAAATATACTTTGGGTGATTTAAATATTCACTTCTTTATCTTTATTGTAATAAAGCGAATCAGTTTTTTTTGCCACGTCGTTGTCTGTGTTGATTCATAGCAGCTAACATCTCAGAGGAATTCTTAAAATATTGGGTTGTCATAATTATGTTAAGCCCTTTTTCATCCTCCGAGCCACACGGGGCGTAACATTAGGTAAATATATCTTAATTCAACTTTTTACTTACTTAATTATTTACCTACTTATTTGTTTACTTATGTATTTAGTTACTTATTTGTTTATTTATTTACTTTTTTGTTTACTTATTTACTTATTTGTTTACTAACTTATTTGCTTACTTACTTACCTACTTACTTATTTACTTACTTGCCTACTTGCTTACTTTTTTACTTACCTACTTATTTACTTACTTATTTACTTACTTGCTCACTTACTTAGAGAGCATTTCAATAAATGGATGTTGTTGGTCAATGAGCATTTCCTGCCTATTGTCAAACTTTTTCGTAAAAGTAACAAGAAGGGATTTAATCATAACTTGACGGTAAAACAGCTTTCATAAAATTATTCATCAGTGTGTGTAGTTTTGGGATTCTCGGAACTTATAGAAATAAAAAATGTGAAGCAGGAAATACGTCAGGATCATTGTTGACATCCCCCAAAACGGTCTATTTATTGGATGGTGGTGTGAATTTGTGGAATTTGAATGTTGCAAGGCTGCAAAATATATATGTATTATTTGTCTTGTATATTGTTCATATACTGTATATATAAACATATCTGCATTTATTTGCATTTTATTTTAACAATGCAGTAAGAAAAACTATATATTGTGAAACAATTAAATGAGTGTTTTTATATTTTAGCATGTACTCAATATTTATTAGGATTACAGTGCTCAACATAAATGAGCACACCTCATTTTGAAAATGAATATTTTCATCCATTTCTCAGTGAATATAGGCAATGTATTTTAGTGCATTTAAACAAAACAGATTTATTAAACAGATATATTTATTAAAATAATAATTTAGTCACCAAACATATTTAGAAATTGAAAGGTAATTTTATTCAATTCAAGCAAAATATTGCAAAAAAAAAAAAAAAAGAATTACAACCTACAAAATTTCAACTCTTGATTTTTCCTCTTTTTAAAATTTGTATTTAATATTTTTCTATAACACATGAATTCGGATGTACTTAGTTTTTGGACCATTATCGTAAGTTATTTTGTTAGATAAGTTCCAGATTTGGCTTCAGTACTGACTAATCTAATGTATATGCACAAATATAATATTGTTAAGCTTTCTATTAAAAATATGAATTTCAAGAGTTCACACTTACATATTGCTTGACAACTGTAAGCAGGTTTGGCATGCTGTCCCGGGAGAGAACCCTGAGCTCGGAGATGGTTGAGCCCAGGGCTCCCGCCAGGTCCATAGGGCATGTGAGGGGAGTACGAGATCAGGTGGTTCTCGAGAGCTCCCCTTTTTTGTAAAGGAGAAAGGGGGTGGATGGGGGGTTTCTTCAGAAAATGAAGATAAGGGAGTAATATCTAGCTAGGCTACTTATAGTGAGTTAGGATAGATCTGATTGGCTAACTAATGAGTGTAGATAGGTGGCCAGCTGCAGTCAATTATATCACGTGCTCCTCTCGAAATTAGTTAAAAAATTTCACTTAAAAGATAGATTTGTGTACCGTGTACTTTTATATGCTGAGCACTGTATGTATACTAACTTAAATGTATGGTTTTCATCATTCCTCATTAATTAATGTTCATGTCTTTTTAAAATCATTATTAATGTTCTTTTTAGATTTAATTTTTTTCCAGTAAACAAATATTTCATAAAGTTGCGAGGGATCTTTCTTTTTACAGCAGCCTAATAAAACAAACAATCAAACAAAACAAAATGGCTGTTTTTAGGTTTAATCATCAGCATAATCATCAATTTCAACCTTTCCATTAATGCTCTTTTTATATGTTGTATGATTTTGTTTGCTTACCAAGTTGCTTTTATTTGATCAATAATTTTGTATGGAAAAATAAATTGTATAAAAAAAAATGTAAAAAGCTGTTTTTATATCCTAATATGCACTATTCCTTAAAAAAATATTGTTTTAATACTTCATTCATATGATGGCTGAACTAAATTTTTAGCATTATTATCTAATCTTGCATTTCCAATATGCTGATTTGATGCTGTGCTCTTAAACTTTTTTGTATAAATTGTTATGATTCTTTGATAAACCGATCTGTTTTGTATAATTACAATCAATGTAGTCTCCCTTTTGTTTAATTAAATGCTTCCTCCTTGAATAAATCTAACAATTTCTTTGAAATGTCTTGTGTTTGTAGGCGCTGGCGACTGCTGCCGAGAACCTGCAGAAGGAGCACCAGTGGAAAGAAGATCTTGACGTAATCTTTCTCACATACACATTTTGTAAACATAACCAATTTGCCTGCAAAACTTGTCATTCAGTTCTCAGATAAGTACTCATACCTGACACCTTTACACTTCACCTCGGTTAGGTGTAAGATTGGGCCTAAAGGTGTTGGCATCCTGATGTCAGACTTTGCGTCAGTTATTGATGCTCTTCAGGCTCCCCCTGCATGAAATATCAATTTTAATTAGCACAGAAGTGGATGTGATGTCTCTTTGTCTGTTATAGATTTGTCAGTCAAGCGTGGTCTGAATGAGTCATCAAAAAGTGGATAACAGGTTTATTTCATTTCTACCTAGACTGATGAATTTTTAATAAGACTACTTAATAAAAAACCTTTGACTTTAGCTTAGTGATATTTTACTCAGTGGTTTTGATCTGAATATTGACAGATTTAGTGGCATTGTTTTATTTTGGAATGAGATGATGACTGAGAGTGTGGGTTTTGTGTTGGTAATTTTGTTAATTTCTGCACAGAATGCTTTATTTTTGACTTGCTGCAGCATGAATCGGTGGGCGTAGCTAAACAGGCAGTGATGTGGATGTTGATCTTCAGCGGAGGCGGAGTTTAGCCACAATATTACATAATGCAGTGGCTCATTCACAACCTGTTGTTTTGGCAGATTGAGCTCAATAAAAGCTGTTTTTATAATAGCAAGAAAAGTTTGAAACTAGGATGTTTCAGTTTAAGACAAAGGTTTTAGCTTTTGTGACATTTTTTTGTTTGTTTTTTAAAATAGTTTAGTGATGTTTAAAAGATTATACACATTATTTCCTACGGTTTGTTTCCCATGGGGAAAGTCATCTCTTTTAGTTTGGCTGGAATAATATGAAAGAAATAATAAATAATTATTAAATAATAAAAAACTGCTAAGGTCATAATTATTAGCCCTCTTAATAAACTGAAATGGTTTGACCTGACCTTTTCCAGACTGGTAGATAACAATTATTTTTATTTTCATTTATGAGTTTCTTTTTGTTTCCGTTGAACACAAAAGACAATGTTTTAATAATTTTTTTAATCTATTGACATTGATGTAAAGTAATATATACAGTTGAAGTCAGATCTATTAGCCCCCCTTTGAATTTTTTTCTTTTTATTTAAATATTTCCCAAATGATGTTTGACAGAGCAAGGCAATTTTCACAGTATGTCTGACAATATTTTTTCTTCTGGAGAAAGTCTTATTTGTTTTATTTTGGCTAGAATAAAGCCAGCTTTAAATTTTTAAAACACCATTTTTGGGATAAAGTTATTGGCCCCTTTAAGCTATATTTTTTCTTCATAGTCTTCAGAACAAACTATTGTTATACAAAAACTTTCCCAATTACTCTAACCAGCCTTGTTAACCTAATAAACTTAGTTAAGCCTTTAAATGTCACTCTAGGCTGTATAGAAGTGTCTTGAAATATATCTAGCCAAATATTATTTACTGTCATCATGGCAAAGATTAAATAAATCAGTTATTAGAAATTAGTTATTAAAACTATTATGTTTAGAAATGTGTTAAAACAATCTTCTCTCCGTTAAACAGAAATTGGGTAAAAAATAAGCAAGCGGTCTAATAATTCAGAGGGGCTAATAATTCTGACTTCAACTGTATATTATTAATGGCTACTGATTCACAACATTCTTCAAATGACCTTCTTTTGTGGTCAACAGATAAAAGAAACTCAAACTTGGAGGTATAGGCTGAGTAAAAGATGACGGAATCCCTCCCTTTAAAGACAGTCTGGAGGGTAAAGAGTTGGGTCTGATGCTGGGGTGACCTGTACGCTCATGTCTGTGCGATTAGTGTTCTCTATCCTAAAAGGAGTATCTGATTATCAAGCGAGCAGCACAGGTGGCAGCAGCCGGTGATGATCCACTTCTGTGTCTCCAAGGCAACTGTGTGTCAGAGAGTGAACTCGCTTGTTAACACTCCACCAGTGCTGGTCCTGACAGCGCCCTCACACTGTGAGGAGAACAACCCCAAGAGGACGCACACACAAGCACAGACAACTTAAACCAGCACACATTCACACACACACACACTTTTCACACACAAGGAAAGGAGAGGGCCAGTTTGTTTTTTATCGATTGGCTTACAGTTTTTAATGTTTTTTGGTTGGTTTTTAATACGTTTTATTAATTTTTTAATGATGCATGATAATACATTTTAAAAATCTGTATTTTTTCATACTTTTTTATTTAACATTTTTAATTCAAAATTCTAATCTCATTTATAAAACTGTATAAACTTGTGAGCACACATTTCTAAATAAACACTTTGCGGTAAAATAGTTTGGTAAGCTCTTTGACAAAATTGTAGGAACTATTTTTGTTGCATCAAAAAGTGTGGTTATGATCACCATCTGACAAGCTAATGCAGCAAAGATTAGTGTGTAAAATATCAGTAAAATGCAGTGTTTGAATCTCATTATTTAATAAAAAATTTAGACGAATGATTGCAAAAAGCTCCTCTAAAAAAAAAAAAAAGAAACAAGCCTTTCAATAGGCTGACTACGGGCCTGGATTGTGACTCAAATTTACATGTACTGTATTATAAACACTAACAAATATTGTAATGTAACGCCTCAGGCAGAAAGATGCTGATAGTTTTTTGTAGATATTTGTATATAACAAGTATCTACAAAAAACTATCAGCATCTTTCTGGTAATGTTAATAAGAGGTTTGTGAAATGCAAAACATACAAATAACATTTAATAAACATCCTGAAAATGAAATCTCATTAGATTGTTGTACAAAAACATCCATGCAAACTTTTGGGTAATTATACAATTATTAAAACCTAAAAAGAGCAGTAATTAAGTGAAGTTTATTTATAAACAAATTTCCAGAGGATCTCGTGCTTACGATTTATCACGGCCGGTCCTGCATTAGCTAATCATGATCGTCCATTCATATGATTCCTAAGTTACTATAAGTAGCCACAGTCTTCTTATGAGAAATCATCAGCTAACTGTGAACTCTTGAAAAAAACTTTTAAAGCATTATTGCTTGTTTTATTAACCCTAAATAGACTATTTAGTATATACAGTACATTAATTTGATTGTTCATAAACTATAAAAATATTAAAACCTTTTGGATGGTATACAAACTAACAAATATGGGTATTGTTTTCATCTGACAGGTGAATGAGACCATCTACTACAATGCCAAGGACAAGGTGAGTTTTTATTTCAAAAAATGCATTTAAATATGAACTAAACAAAAGAGACAGACATCAAGTAAACCAGAGATTTAATTTATTGTGATGTTTCCAGAGTGATAATCAGACAGAACCAAGAAAGAACCGGCTCATACTGGATTTCACAGAAGATCCTGCTTTCAAGCGGCCCGTTTCATACAACACCACAGCAGTGCACATTCCCACTGATATCTATGAGGGCTGTAAGTACACAAACAAACACACTAACTTGTATGCATTTTATGTATTAACTTTTATACTGTACACATTCTATATTGTATCAACCTACCCTAAACTCAATCCTCTGGAAGTTTTCTGAATTTTTACATTTTCAAAGACTTATCAATGATTAATAAGCTGTTTTCATAATGGGGACAAAACGAATCCCCACACAGTCAAAATGTAATTGCTATATTTGGGGGGACATTTGGTATACTAATCATTATTGGGTATGTACTGTATTCGAAAAACAAGGTATACACACAGACACAGTTTACTGCTTGCATCAGATCAGTATTTGAGTGACTTTACTCCTGTGTGTCAGGTGTGGACAGCCCAGTGAAGAAGCCATACTAAATTTAGAGAGTTGAAACACAGTACGACTGACCCCTGAGTGACCCCACAACCCCTCAATGTCCTCCAGCGACACAAGAGCTATCACTTGACGTCTTTAGCTTTGAAAGATTATGGCTTATGATAGATTTGAACCTTACACTAATGTCCAGAACGCTACTGGGTAGTTTCACAGTGCTTCAGCCACAGTTCATAACAGTGAGCTATTTATTGATTTATACTAAATACATGTTTAATAGAAATATATACGCTTAATATGTATGCTAAATAGCGTATTATTGAGTATATAAAGAGTTTAGATGCAAAAGAGGCGTCTGAAATGAGCACTTTTCTCAGGCTTCTGTTATGTACTTTTAGTAAGTTTACTTTTATGGTAAAGATTTTTTTTCATTGCCTTTAAATGAAAAAAAAAAACTAACATAAACATAGGAGGCTGAAAAAATAAAATATTCTATAAGAGAAATTCAGGTGGCACTTATTTTTGCATCAGTACTATTTCATTATGTCAAAGATTATTGGCACTCTTGATAAATATGAAAATCAATCAGTTTTGTTTAATCTTTTTGTGTTTTTTTTTTTTATTCAAACTTTGACAAAAATTTTGGCTTTTGTTGAAATGAAACAATTTAAAATAGGTTAATGAGCATAAAATTACAGTGTCAAGTCCCCTGAACTGTAACCTATAAAAAAGGAGAAAAGAGCACCAACATGAACCAGAGAATCTTAGATTTAGAGAGATTTTTCCCCACTGAATGAAGGGTGCCAATAATTTTGACCAGCAAGCATTTAAGAAAAACATTTACTGGGATATTTGACAAAGAAAATTTAAATTAGATAAAAATCATTGGGGTTAGTCAGATTTGAAATCTCACCTGCTATGATTCTGCTGAAAAACATAGTAAAGTACTTAACAGAATCGCATGGAATAGCATAGTTTTTTGCAATCTCTCAGTATCCCCACACACAATAAATCTTATTTGTTTACCATGGCCAGGGTTGCCGGGCCTAATAATATTTCTAAGCCCAATGACAACTCAAAACCCACACAAAAGGGTTGAAATGTAGCCCATGTCCCCCCCTAGTGCAATCAGAATCAGATGCTGGATTCCTTCAAATGGAAAGGTTTTGCATCTTTAACACTCATACTGTACTTGCAGATAAAGTATATACTTCAAAATTATTTAAACACATCAAACAACCCTTCTAAGTACCTTTCTTAGACTTTTTCTCAGGGTTTTACTCACTTGCTGTGGTTTTTGGGTTGCCAGGTATACATTCCAGGATCAATGTCCATTTAGAAACCATTCATTCTTTCATTTTCTTTTCGGCTTAGTCTTTTTATTAATCTGGGATCTGGGCGGAATGAACCGCCAACTTATCCAGCATATATATTACGCAGCAGATGCCCTTCCAACTGCAACCCATCACTGGGAAACACCATAAACTCTCATTCATTTACACACATACGCTACGAAAAATTTAGCTCACCCAATTTACCTGTAGCGCATGTCTTTGGACTGTGGTGGAAACTCCACACAGAAGTGCCAACTGACCCAGCTAAGGCTCAAACCAGCAACCTTTTTGCTGTGAGGTGATCATGCTAACCACTGCGCCACCACATTGCTCGGAAACTATTCAATTTTCATTTTTGTATTGGCAAGAAATACATATTCTGACGGCTGAAAGTAACCCAAACCCAACAAACCACCTTCCCTCGCCAAAAACACATCCCACAACTTATATTAGTTTGCATATTTTTTTCTATTGCATTTTCAAGAGAGACCAATAATGCAGGAAAACTATAATCCTGGCAACACTGCTCACCGCCAGATATTAACCACACTGAAAAAAATTGACCTTAAATTCACAGTAAATTACTGGCTAATAATTGTATTATTTTCACAGTAAAATACTGTATGTAAATTCACATTAAATTACTGTGAGGTAGTTAACAGTAATTTACTGGGATTTTGTGCCATTAAATTACTGTGAGATTACAGCCACATAGTTTAACTTCACTGTGGATAGTAATTTCCATTACTGTGATTTCACAGTCCTATCTTGTAGAATTAACTATATTTTACGGTAAAGCAGGTTTTCCTGGGCTAGTCATTCTGACATTTACCCTGCCTTTGAAATCATTTTGGGTGTTTAATAGTGTTCGTTTTTGGCTAAGCACAAAGTTATATTCATTAAAAATTATTACATATTTCCATGTTAACCTTATAAAATTAAATAATAATGATTTTCTTTCAAGTTATTTTTAAGATGTAGCTAAATTGTTTTTGGGGCTGCAATGGCATTCGGTTATTTCTAAATATCAAAAAATAGCATAAAAATGTTAGCATAAAAGTTCATTTGTCTATGTTGAATGAAATAAAAATAGTTTGAAATCTTATAACTAACATGCAAAAGATATAGCCCTTTTTACAGTAATTTGCTGTAATCATGCTAATTTGATTAATTTCACAATAGAATTATAAATAAAACAAATTACTGTGGACTTTTACAGTTAAATTCTGCAAAGTGATACTAATGTAAATTACTGTGGAAAATGACAGTAGCATGTTGTAAAAAACTAGATTTTTTTACTGTGCACATTGGCTGTGATTTTGAAACTAATTATTAAATGGTCAAAAATGCCTTGTGTATGTGTCTGTGAGCTGGCTGAAGTGTGATCTCCTGTGTGTCTCTGTGTGTGTGTGTGTTTGACAGGCATATGAGTTCTATGTGTGTTTGTCTTCTAGAGCGGCTGCGGTCATCATACCGTATGACTCACGAGTCCCGCTGTCTCTCTTTATCTACTTTTATTCACTTCTCATTACTCGCTCTACCTTCTGCTTTCAGCCTGATTTTCTGGCTCCGACAGTGTTGCTTTACCCAGAACCCCCTGCTCAGTGCCAGGAAATGACAATGTTTCTAATAAACGGGGTGGGTGAAAATTAACTTGGCAGTATTTGATGGCTGTACAACTTACAGTATCACTGGAGTCATGATGGAAACAGTGCCTAATTATATGACAGCATTTTATAAGGATTTCATATTTCATGTGTCGATAGTACAGGCAATTTTATTAGCAATATTTAAAAATTAGATTTAACCCACCCTGTATATTTTAAGATAAAAAAATAATACAAATAAAGAATATTAAAAAATGAAAGAAATTATTATTATTATTATTATTAGTAGTAGTAGTAGTAGTAGTAGTAGTAGTAGTAGTAGTAATAGTAGTAAAATTTACCAAACAAAACGTTTAAAATGTTGTATAGTAAAAGAAATCTTGTCAAAAATTACAAAATTATTACATGTAAATAAACAAGTGAATAATATCATAAAATACTTCAAACTAAATTCTACAATGTCTTCTCAATGTAGTACAGATTACTGAAAAAAAATCTTAAATAACACAGCCATTAAATAATAATTTGTTATATTATGGTGTTATAAGCTGTCATTATTTCTAGACTTGTGAGATATTTTGTAGTATTCTGTGTAGTTACAACTCTATATTTATTAATAGTTGATTATGCAATGATGTGACTGATTATTTGTGTATGTGTGGGTATGTGTGTGGTTGGAGGCTCTAGGCTGTGTGAATGTGTGTGCCTGCCTTATTAAGACATGAATCTGTTCTTTCTGCCTCAACACTGTGTGTCATCTGTCATGACAATCTCTGGATGGACATAGACATGCTCACAGCATTTGTGTGTGTGTGTGTGTGTATGTGTCACACAAATGCCTCTGGCTCTGCTCATAGTTCTTGGACTGTTTTTTCTGTTGTCTGTTTGCCCTGATTCATTTAAGCCAAAGAAAGTTTGCCTTCTTCCCTTTCCACTTTTTCTGCATGTGACTGATATTTTATTATTTAGATTAGTTTAGATTCATTCATTCTTCATTCGTTTTCTTTTTAGCTTAGTCCCTTTATTAATCTGGGGTCGCCACAATGGAATGAAATGCCATCTTATCCAGCATATGTTTTATGCAGCGAATGCCCTTCCTGCTGCAACCCAGTGCTGGAAAACACCCATTCACTCTTAAGCCTCATTTACACTACGAGCTACTTGCTGCAGCATAGCGACTGTTTATTTCAGCTTGAGAGTGAGTGACTTCCAGCGACACCCATCTATGCAAGCAACAGTGACCGTTGGTGACCAGGTGGGCGTGTAAAGTCACGCGACAAAGTTGAATATAAATAAAGAGCGACTTTATTGAGCGACAGCCAATAGGAGCATTAGTGGAGCTCACGTGATTCTCTCTCAGCTCACTCAGAGGCCAGTTGTATTGTCTGTGCTGTAGACTTGCGTTTGCAGCAGGTCGCCAACCAGAGCGACAAGCAGGTACAAAGTTGCTGCTAGTGGGAATGAGGCTTTATTCACACACATACACCACGGTCAATTTAGCTTAATATCACTTATACTGCTTGACTTTGGACTGTGGAGGAAACCGGAGCACCCTGAGGGAACCCACGCCAACACGGGGAGAACATGCAAACTCCAGAAATGCCAATTGATGCAGCCTGGGCTCAAACTAGCGACCTTCTTGCTGTGAGGCACAGTGCTAATCACTGAGTCACCGTGTCGTCCTAAAATATTTAAATAATAATATCTTCAAATATTTATTCATATATTCTACGTGTGTGTGATTAATTCTTAAATTTTTAACCACACACATTTACTGCTTGGCGAGTGTTCATTTTAGACCCAAAGGACAGAACAGTTTACAGGGATACAGTAGCTTGTGGCAATTTCAGTTTGAGCTGAGATTTTGATTTGGATCTTGAAGGACGTGAGTTGAGTTTTTCACACTGAGCTACAGATCTCGTTGGACTGTATGTGTGACTGATAATCAATATGTGTGTGTTGATGACTGACAGTCAAAGAGACAAACAACAGGAAGGGGAGTGAAAAGACTTCTGATCTGACTGAAAGCACACACACACATAATAATAATAATAATAATAATAATAATAATAATAATAATACGTTTTTGTTTGTAATGCGCTTTTCTCCAGCTCATCGCATATACATATACACTGAGTTTGTGAGGACATAGGGGTAATGTATTTTATACTGTAAAAAACTATTATAATATGGCCTTACCCTAATCCTAAATTCAACTCTCAAAGAAGCCTGTTTCTAATTCTGAATGTCAAAAGACCCCCTTAAATATGATTTTTAACTATTTGGAATTTTGAGGACAGAAAAACTTTGGTGGTGTCACAATCACCAGCGATCTAATCCTTGCAGATTGCTGGTAAACATGCTGATCGCTATAGAACTACAAATTTATCTTTATTTGGACTACATATCCAGTCATGCATCGCTCACACGCACCTGTTCCAGTTTCCATTGATTACACTAACACACAGCTGAAGCTTTTAAGAACTGATTACATGGACTTTAAAAGCAGCACACACACACACACACACCAGTGCTGAGTCTTGTTTAACTGTACTGTGACATTTTGTCTTCCAGTGATTTGACCCTTTGCCTTGTTCTATTGTTTTGATTCATTGCTGCCTGTCCCGACCATTTGCCTGTTTTTTGACCACGACTTTGGATTGCTCTGCTTGTATCTGTTTTTGTGTCTGTGTGTGTGTCTGTGTGTGTGTGTGTGTGCGTGTGTGTGTGTGTGTGCATGTGTGTGTGTGTGTGCGTGCGTGGTTGTGTGTGTGTGTGTGTGTGTATGTGTGTGTGTGTGTGTGTGCGCGCGTGTGTGCAGCAAAGGTATCCTGTCGTTGGATGATTACAGGCTTTCACATTTCCACACTGAACCTGTGGTTAACATTCACACCGCCACACCACTACTATACTGTGTGAGTTGAACTGTTTCCTGAGCTGCTGTCAGAAAGTCTGAACCAAGAGTATTGTCTGATTATTATCTGAACCAAGTAATTTGTCTGGCCAAAAATGGCACTGCACAGAAGGTGCATGATGTGTAATATAACTTTTTGAAGGACAAGATTTTGGACCAGTGAGCGACATCTTACTGTGGAGAGGAAAGTTAATACAAAGTCTGATAAAAAATCCAAGAGATACACTTTAGGCTACCAACTGGTTTTGTGTATCCCCTTTTTACATACTTATTTCCAACCAGTGAATGGGTACAACATGAAGGGTTGTTAAAAATGGAGGAAAATAAAATGGCTGCTGATTGACCCTCTTAAACATGATGGATGGGGTCTGAAGTGCATTTTACTGATGGAGAAAACTGTATTGATCACACACAGAGTGGGCGGAGTCTTGATGAAAGAGGAAGTGAATGGCAGTCTTAGTAATAAAGATGCCCCAAGGGATTGAGCACACTAAGAGAGTCTTATATCAAGCTGTCAAGGCTACAATAATTCTAATAATAATTCAGTATTATCACGAAACATAAATAAGCAGAAAAGATCGTAAGAAAGAAGTGAGATTTGAACTGGTATTTATAACCAGTCCGGTGTTACACTCACCCTCCTAAATATCACTTCCATACGGGTCACGACACCACTGTAACCCCTTTGGATCTACGCATCCCACTTAGAGTGGCATGTGAACCTGTGTTTCAAGCACTGAAAGCAGGTACACCTACAAGGATCCTAAGGTTTATCCACACAGTTCCTACCATCTTTTGTTACACTCACCACCTTAAATATAACTCACATCCGGGTCACGGCACCAATGTAACCCTTTTGGATCTACGCATCCTGCTCAGAGTGGCATGTAAACCTGCGTTTCAAGCACTGGAAGCAGGTACACCTACAATGATCCTTAAGTTTATCCACACAGTTCCTACCATCTTTTGTTACACTCACCACCTTGAATATTACACACATCCGGGTCACGGCACCAATGTAACCCCTTTTGTACCACTCTGCCCACTCTGTTTAGATGTTAATTTGTTTTTCCAGCACTGAAAGAAGATTCACTTACAAGAATGACAATAATGGTTATCTAAACAGTTTCTTTATAACTGTTCCTTTCTTACACTCATCTCGGAGTGGGACACAATCTTATATTTCTGTCATATGAAGTGGGCAAGCCAACTACAAAACTAAAGACTACAGCCTCGCATCATCCTCTTGGGGCCCTAAGAGTGAGGCTTACTTGCATAGCTCTTACTAGCTGGCATCTGTTACATTATCATCACTCTCACTTACAGCAGACAGTGTCCATTTATGACATTCTCTGGGAAAAATACAGCCCAGTGTTCCACTAATTCCATTAGAACTGCATTAGCTAATAGTTCACTTTGTTGTTTCCTCTACCACAGCTGCTCCTTCAAGTGGTTTTTCTCTTTGAGTTTAACGTAATATGATGGCACCTGCATTTTTGAGAGCTGGAATATTGATTTACAGCTGAATTGGGATTAATTTGAATGTTTGCTCTCTGAAAACATGCCAAGGGGTCTTGATCTTTTTTTAGCGCTCGAGCCTTTCTTGTCAGTCTAAAACAGCTTATATTTGAGCTCTAAAGGACAGATTGGGAATGACCTACGGTATTATGTAATTATGTAATTATCAATTTGCACTGCAGTAGGTTAATAATAAGAGAGGAGAAATGATAAATCTGTTCTGAAGACAAAACACTTCAGATCACCCAAGATGTAGAAAAACAGTCGTTGCATTGCCTTCGATTTGATCCCATCCTTAGCAACAGGTGGATGAACTTCAGTTTTAAAGTTCCAGTCCGAGTCAGAAAGAACAAAATTGTCTTTTGTTTACATAATTTTACTGCAGATTTTGCTGAACTTAAACTAAAAATGGATGTTGTGCTGACTATATTGGATCCCACAGTAATGACACACCAAACAAGAGTGAATAACAATTTTTATTAAGTGTACACTATTGCTTTTTCTGTTATTACGTTGATATGTACTCAGTATTTATAAGTGTTTAGCCTAAATAACAGCAGTGTCCATCTATGAATGATGTAGTCTGTCAAATATACATGCATATAGGCACATAACTGTCCTTCCTTTCCGACTTTGATTTTGTTAATGTGCAAAACTGTCAGCCAATCACACTAGTGTGCATTTACTTTTGCATTTACAATTTACTACAACCAATCAAACAGTGTGTTCAGATTTCCTATTGCTTATTAATCATGATGTTTATTATTGTAAAAGTCTTGATAACATGCATAGCTCAGAGAAGAGTCTCATATATGTATCTTCAGATGGGGATTATTGTATGCGTTTCTGTGTTTATTTCCACAGCCACTATCATCCTAAATGAGCTGAACTGGACGGCGGCTCTGGATGACGTCTTCAGGAAGAACAAAGAGGACGATCCATCGCTTCACTGGCAGGTGTTCGGCAGTGCAACAGGCCTGGCACGATATTTCCCAGGTAAAGTACTGGAAAACAAAGGCTGTTCTAAATAATGCGTTTACAGTTGGCAAAATAATTTCACTGTTGATTGTGGTATGTGTGATTAGCCATCGACTAATGAGAGAAAATGAACACAATGAACGGAGACAGAAAACAAAAAACAGGAAGTCAAATGCACTAACATAGCCAAAGTCTTGCATATGCAGGAGTGAAAACTGTTAAACTTTTTTGTTAATATTAATTACTCAATCAAAATGTAAATGAATTATGAAATGCATTTAAATACTTACTATCAAAAACTGCTACTGTTCTAATGCTTTTGAAGACATGTTTCATGATACTATACTTATATTAAAGAAATGATTGTTACATAAGTATTTTACCTACTTTAATTACTCACTGTCCACTTTATTAGGTACACCTTACTAGTACCGGGAAGCCCCTATTGCCCTCAGAACTACCTTAATCTTAAAATATAATGTAATATTTATTGTTAAATACTATGTATGAAATAAGTGTGAGTTTATTATAACTATTACATTTTAACTTGTGATTGTTCACTCTTTACATCGGGGGTGCTCAACCCTGTTGCTGGAGATTGACCTTCCTGCAGATTTCAGTTGCAACCCATATCAAACACACCTGCCTGTGATTATCAAGTGCTGTTCAGTTGCTAATTAATTGGTTCAGGTGTGTTTGATCAGGGTTGAAACTGAACTCTGTAGCAAGGTAGATCTCCAGGAACAAGGTTGAGCATTGCATTAATGTTTTATCACCTCTTTTTAAAAAAACAATTAGAAGATATTAATCATAATAAACAACACAATATCCCATACTATCCCTTCTGCCCTATAGCTTCCCCTTGGGTCGACTCTAAAAACAAGATTGACCTGTATGATGTACGCCGCAGGCCCTGGTGAGCAGATATGTGCTGTTTTAATTTATGTCAATCTATAAAAGACATGCCAAGTGCTGCTTTTTTATCTTTACAGCTGGTTTTGATTGTTTTCCTCTGTGTTTGTAGGTATATTCAGGGTGCAGCTTCGCCTAAGGACATGCTGATCTTGGTGGACGCGTGAGTGAAGTCTTTATTATTCACTGTAATAATTCATACACAAAGCCACTGAACCCAGTCCTGCACTTTGAGCATTAGGCTGATCAGCAGAATGACAGATTCCTCACCATCCACTTAAAGAGCTCGTGTTCATTCAGCGTTACACTCATTTATCAGCATTAGAAGGAGAGAGAGAGGGAGAGATGGTAGAGAGACACATGCTGATTAAAGACTGACACCGAGAGTAATAAACATGGAAAATCAATTCTTACTTAGGCAGGTTATAAATAACAGAGTTGTTTTATTAAATGAAGTGGTTTATGAATAATAAACAGTATTTTTTTTACCAAGTATTTATTTATTTTGTTCTCTATAGAGCATTTCTTTCTTTCTTTCTTTCTTTCTTTCTTTCTTTCGGCTAACTGTAGGCTCTATATGTACAGTATAAGAATTTTTTTCTGCTCTCTCTAGGCCTGTCACGTAAAGAATTTTTGTTGTGGTATATATTGTCGTAGCAATTGTTGAGATAAGCAATATTATTGAGATCAATTATGCCACTGATTATATAATTATAATACAACAGCATAGTGATGTCAAGAGCCATAAACACTTTCAAGGGACAAAGACTTTTGATTATTAAGGTTAATTGGATTCTGTAATTTGATGTTAAAAAGGTACAAGTTAAAGGTGAAAAGTTTGATGTTGAAAAATTCCTATTGTGTTTACACTATTAAATGTCCACCCTAACCTTGACACCAGTTTAATTGTAGAATGTAAGATAGAATGTAAATATAATTTTAAAATGGCTTTAACAATATTTGTGAATTTGTAAATATTTATTGTAACACGGTCAATAATCAAGAATCGCACAATAAGTCTATATATTGTATATTGTGAGAGGCCTAGCTCTCACTGCAATTTATAATCTACAAAACAAGACTATTTATTTATTTATTGTATTTTTATTCATATGCCTAAGCTTTTTTTTTAGCTATTGTTTAAAATAAAATCTGTATTCCTTCATTCATTTATTATTATTTTTCACCTCTTTAAGCTATGCGTAAAGTGTTTGCCTTTTTTTTTTGTTTATCTACTTTTTAGTGACTCTCTATGCTATCTATATATAAAGTATTAGTTGCAGTAGTCCAGGATTTGTTTTGTTTAATTAGCAATTTAAGGTGTCATTCATTCATTCATTCATTCATTCATTCATTTTCTTGTCGGCTTAGTCCCTTTATTAATCCGGGGTCGCCACAGCGGAATGAACCGCCAACTTATCCAGCAAGTTTTGCCCTTCCAGCTGCAACCCATCTCCGGGAAACATCCACACACACATTCACACACATACACTACGGACAATTTAGCCTACCCAATTCACCCGGAGGAAACCCACGCGAAGGCAGGGAGAACATGCAAACTCCACACAGAAACACCAACTGAGCCGAGGTTCGAACCAGCAACCCAGCGACCTTCTTGCTGTGAGGCGACAGCGCAACCTACTGCGCCACTGCTTCGCCCAGGTGTCATTCATACATTCTATTAACTTTAGGCCATCTATGTCTATGTTTTATCACCTTTATATTATTGTCCTTTTAAATTGGAGGTAGGCTGTAAGAGGCAGCATTGTTTTATTAAATGAAGTGGTTTACAAACATTAAACAGCAGACATTTTCAGGAATTTCAGCAATATTTTTCATATAAATTATGAAGTGCAATGATATCACGCTTTAAAGTTCATTCATACAAATTTGGTAACAAATATGACCCAGAAATCTGCAAAATTCATTAAAAGCAATATCAGTGAGTCATTATGTGTTAGTTTATCCTACGTAAGGGTGTATTTTGGTTGCTGGTGTAATTAGGCTTGTTGTGTGTGAAAATAAGGCTGTGAAGAGTGTATGGCTCAGCTGTAATGTTGATGGTGATGTGCCGTCTGGGCGTTGAGCCCATTAGTGAGGATCAGCTTCAGCCAATCAATGTAGTTTAGCTTAATGACTAAACCCTGGAGCCCACACACCTCCCATTGGAATCATAGTGATTATTAACCCATAAAAGCCTGCATGTCAGATCTGAAGCCGTTATAAGCCTAAATACGGTTTTATCTCTTCTATACGTGTTAGTCGGGTTCTCTTTTGATTTCGTTGTAGTCATCTTGAATTTTGTCTGTCAGGGGTCGGGTAAAACTTAATGAACTAATTGTGTTTTTAGCTCTATTCAGCTTTATTTTTGAGGGAAAAAATTGTGCCTGCACTCTCTGTAATGGATGATTCAATATTTTATCCATTCATTCATTCATTCACTCACTCACTTTGAATTACATATTTTTATAGACTGGCTATGGTCTCTATTAAATAATGTATTTATTGATCATCTTTCTAGGCTTATATACTGTATAATTTATAAAATAATTTTTTTTTTTTTACATCATTTGTTTATTTATTTACATTGTTTTCTTTGACTCTCTAGATCAGGGGTGTCAAATTCGCAACCCTGCACAGTTTAGTTCTAACCCTGCTTCAATACACTTACAGTACCTGGAGGTTTAAAACAAGCCTGAAGGACTCAATTAGTTTGATGAGGTGTGTTCAATTAGGGTTAAAGCTAAACTGTGTAGAGCTGTGGCTCCCCAGGAACTGAGTTTGACACCTGTGCCCTAGATTGTGCATATAATTGTTAGTTTGTTCGTTAGTTAGTTCGTTCGTTCATTTGTTTGAGTGATCGCTCGATCGTTAGCCTAAAGGACTCAATTAGTTTGATCAGGTGTGTTAAATTAGGGTTAAAGCTAAACTGTGTTGAGTTGTGGCCCCCCTGGAACTGAGTTTGACACCTGTGTTCTAGGTTGTTCATATAATTTGTTCGTTCATTCGTTCGTTCGTTTGCTCGTTCGTTTATTCATTTACTCACTCACTGGGCTATTATACAATCTAAAAAATTAGGTGTCTTTATGTTAAATACATATGTTTGTCCATTCGTTTCTTCTGTTTTGTTGGATCTCTGTAGGGAATGATTTATCGATTATTTATTTATTTATTTGTTTGTTTGTTTGTTTGTTTGTTTGTTTGTTTGTTTGTTTAATTATTTATTTTGTCAACTCTAAGGGCTATATCTACTGTCAAGTATATATTATAGGATTGATCGATTGATTGATTGATTGATTGATTGATTGATTGATTGATTGATTGATTGATTGATTGATTGATTCATTGATTGATTCATTCATTGATTCATTCATTCATTCATTCATTCATTCATTCATTTTTTCCTTCATCTTGCTAGCCCTCTTAACATAGCCAATCTTATCTATATTTACCGTATAAGGCATCTCTCGAATTATTTATTCATTTCAAGTAAGATGTAATATTTTTGTCAGTTTGTTTTGTCCATATCTATGAATGTTTGTTTTGTTACACAGTTTGTTATCTTTATTATAGTTTCTCATATTAACTTATATAGTCACATATATTATACAGTCACATACTATTATTGAAAACACGAGTTAACAAATCTTTTGCAGCTGTTATACAGTAATGAATGTGTAATAACTATGTAGTGACTGTGCTGTGTTTCTCTGTAGGAGTGGAAGTGTGTCAGGCCTGACGCTGAAGCTCATTCGCACCTCAGTCAGCGAGATGCTGGAGACTCTCTCAGATGACGATTACGTCAACATCGTCTCTGTGAGTATACAGGAGATGATCGACTTCCGCAAAACTGACTCCCTGCTGAGCACAATCGAAAGTCTCAAGCGCGGAGCCTCCAAACATCCATAACGTCACACTTAATTTTCTGCGGTTTCACTTCGGCACCGCTGAGGCGCAGGCCAAAAGAATTATTGACATTTCCCATCATCCTTTGCTCCAGACGCCGTGCAATTCATTTATGAAATGCATCGTTTATTTCATTCCGTTCATGAGACCTACTGACAGGAATAAAAAACAACAACAAACTCTGCTTTTAAGTAAGTGAGTGAGCTGTTTTGTATATTTTCAATTAACTTTCGTCCTTCATTGCTTTAATAGTCACAAACGCTCGTATTTTATGGCGCGTTTCCAGCTGTGTGACGTTAGCTTGACATTAATGAAATTAGGCAACAGTGCTTTAAGTGTATTGCTGGCACTGAGCCACCAGACTTACATAGAGGAGCTGCACTAAGCCTGAATCTTAATGATGCAAAATCATTTCATAAGAATCTCATCTTTGCTTGTGTGTGTGTTTTTATTGATACTGTAACTTACTAACTAATGCTTTTTATTGGTTTCAGTTTAACAATTCAGCCAAGTCGGTGGCCTGTTTTGAAAACCTGGTGCAAGCGAACGTCCGCAATAAGAAGACTTTGAAGGAGGCCGTTCAGAAGATCACTGCCAACGGCACCACTGACTATAAAATCGGCTTCAAGGAGGCTTTCAACCAGCTGGCTTCTGTAAGAAAAAATATTGTATATTAAATAGTCACCAGGGTCATAATATCAAGGTTTGTAATGAAGATAATATATTTATAATATATATTTATAAGATATATTTATATATTTATAAGATAATATACTTATTTTTTTGCCCATTGGAAATATAAAATTATTAAAGGCTTGTGACAAAAATTGTGCCGAAAACAAAGAAAAAAATCCCCACAAATTCATTGCATCACATTTAATGTGTTATAAATGTAGACAATTGATGTGACAGCTTTAGAAAAAAAAAAATGGAGAGTGCTTAGATACACCTGATTTCCACAGGATTCTCTGGATTTACTAGATTTCCGGGTATGTGTTTGAGTAAAGAATATTTTTATAATAGAAAACAGAACAGAAAGTGTTAGTAAGTGTTGAAGGGCCAGAAGATTTTTAAAACCATAAAATCTAAAACAGGATGTCTGTATTAGAAAGTCAACTCAAAGGCAATTGTTAGATTATGAAATTATTTTGTCTTTTAACAATAAAAAAACATTAAGATGATTCAAGATAAGATGGCTGCTTTGCATTTAAACTAAACTGTAATCATTACGTGGTAATGAATGGAGAATGTCACTTCACAATGTTATATTTAGACCTGCACTCATAGAGACTTAACCAATCCCACTTGTTTCTGTTGAGTTTGTAAATGCTATAGCATTAGATTTTTTTACCAACTTTTGTTGCGTCTCAATTCTCTTGTACAAAACTGTAGTGCTGGAGTTATGGAGTTTTTGCGCAGCTTGTGCTATAAACACTGCATGAAACCAATGTGTTCTAAAGACATGCGCTATAGGTGAGTTACATAAGCTAAATTGGCCGTAGTGTGTGAGTCTGAATGTGAGAGTGTATATGGGTGTTTCTCAGTAGTGGGAAGGGCATAAAACCTATGCTGGATATTTGGCGGTTCATTCCGTTGGGGTAACCCCCTGATAAATAAAGGGACTAAGCCAAAGGAAAATGAATGACTTTAAAGATCATTATTACAGTGTTAAGAGCTACAATAACGGTTACTTTGGTGTCATAATTGCAGCTTTTCCTTGTAATGGTTTTATTTTTATTGTATAAATTTTTATTCTAATTTTAAATAATTTGTTGTTGTTGGTCGCAGTTTATAGATTGACATAATTGGTTACAGTATTTAACAACACAATTACCATTAATTAAGTACACTTAATAAAGTAGTTATTTAAAAAGAAGGCAAAAAGGTTGCTGGTATCACATATCTAGAAAAATATAAATGGCTGACTGTGATGTCACCTACAAATTATACAATACAGTATATTCTATACTGTAAATTGAGAAATATGTAGCTGATCTGTATAAATCCCTCTTTTTAGTTTACAGCGCCATCTTATGGTGCTAATAGTGTGATGCTCAACAAAAGTCCAAAATACCTAATATAATTTATGTGTCGTTTTCCGCATGTTAGTCTTTTTCAGTAAAACTATGTTGAATGCTTGCCCAAACCTTTGTACAAACGTACAATGAGTTTGTTTGTTTTTTCACAGATGAATGTTTCAAGAGCAAACTGTAATAAAATCATCATGTTATTCACTGATGGAGGGGAGGACAAAGCGTCAGAGATCTTTGATGAGTACAACTCTGACAAGAGGGTGAGAAAACACACACTTACACACACAGCTGGACATACTTAACCAAATATTAAATGTGAATAAAAACAGTACAACTCAATTCATCTGATATTTGCTGATCTAGTAATCTGCCAGATTTATGGATATTAAAAAGGTCGATATTTTCAGATCTATCAGATTAAGATATTGTACAGGTATGTGTGCCTGAAAACAAGGTTTATGTATATAATGTAATGTTATGGATAATGTATACTGATTTATGTGTATAATGACATGACATGAGTATAATGATGTAAACATAGCTTTATGCTATGCTTACACTACCCATAATCCTCATCAACCACATAAGAATTTTCCAAAATTATTAAGCGCTTTGTAATTCATTGTAATACACAAAACTATTTTCTGGGAGGGTTGTGTTTGGGTTACGTGATATATTATAGTTTGTACATTATAAAAATCGTGAACCACATATAAAAGTATGTGTGTAAAATATAATATGAGCAGTCAAACACATTTTCCACTATTTATAATCAACAATATCAATCTTCCACCAGGTTAGAATCTTCACCTTTTCTGTGGGCCAACATAACTATGACAAGGCACCAATACAATACATGGCTTGCCATAACAAAGGTAAAGCATGCTGACATTTATTGAAGTTCCTTTTAAAGTTCTCTTCAAATGGTTGTGTCTACATTTATGAACATGAATTAAGATGTAAGGCATCCTGCAGGTTATTATTATGAGATCCCATCGATTGGAGCCATCAGGATCAACACGCAGGTATATGACGGCATCTTTTAGTGCATAATCGTGACTTCTGTATGAAAATGACTAAGTCTATACCCACAGGAGTACCTGGATGTTTTAGGCAGACCTATGGTGAAAGCAGACAAGAAAGCTAAAAATGTGCAATGGACCAACGTTTATGTGGATGCTCTGGTATATGTCAGATATTCTAAATACTAATAGAGATGCTTAATTTGACTGATTTTAAGTATGAAATGGCTGACGGTCATAATTGTGCTGCAGGAACTGGGCCTGGTGGTTACAGGAACTCTTCCAGTGTTCAATAAGACCAGGACCAGTAAAGAAAAGCCTAAGGTACTATTTTGTTCATTGGAATGTTTTAAAATGGATATTTCATCAGCTATGAAAATGTGAGATTGTTATTTTACACTCCCTCAGGCCATCTACTGTAATATGCAACTTTTTTTCTTCACTCAAACATTAAAGAAAATTATTTAGCTGAAACTGTGATACTAGTCAACATCTATCAGCATTTGTTTTTTAAGTAAAGCATAACAATATTCCACATTTTTACACGCGTAACTAATGTGTTTCAAATTTAGGGTTGGACTTTTAGTGCTAGGAACATCCATTCAAACGAACTGAAATGAATCGCTTTATATAATATGTTTGTGCAAAACATAATAAGTGTAGTGAAAAAAGGAGAGAGGGGTTTGTTTTTTCTTTGTGCTTTTTAATTTTATCCATCAAGAAAATAACATTATGCTTGGTGTTTTAGTGTGACATTAGTAACACAAGGCAAGTTTATTTATATAGCACATTTCATATACAGTGGCAATTCAAAGTGCTTTACATAAACAGGAATAAAAGGGATGAAAACAAATAATAAAAGTGATTAAAAGCTGATAAAAACAGATTGAAGTGCGTTAAAAACAGGTCTTAAAAGAATGAAAAAGAAAAGAAAGACATAATAGAGCATCTGTAGGACATAGCACTGTGCTCATTTAGTAAAAGCACAGGTAAGCAGATGTGTTTTCAGTCTTGATTTGAATGTGCCTAATGTTGGAGCCCGTCTGATCATTTTTGGAAGCTGATTCCAGCAGCAGGGGATGTAGTAGTTGAAGGCTGATTCACCCTGCTTTCACTGAACTAGTTTTAAATATAAAAACTTCTAGTTTTTTATGATCCTAAAGATGCGAGTGATCTGTTAATTTTGTATTCAGTGAGCATATCTGTAATGTATTGAGGTCCTAGGCCATTTAGTGATTTATAGACAAGTAATAATACTTTGAAATCTGTTCTGAATGTAACTGGGAGCCAGTGTAAAGACCTGAGGACAGGTGTGATGTGCTCTGATTTTCTGGTTCTGGTCTGAATCCTGGCCGCAGCGGTCTGGATGAGCTGCAAATGTCTGACTGTCTTTTTGGGAAGGCCAATGAGGAGTCTGTTACAGTAATCCATCCTGCTGGTGATAAAAGCATAAACAAGTTTCTTTAAGTCCTCACTGGAAACAAAGCATCTGATTCTTGCAATGTTTTTGAGATGATAGTATGCTGATAGTTTGACATGACTACTGAAACTGAAAGTTCATTCAAATAAGTATGTATTGATGTAAGTACTGATATCTTTTAGAACATACAGTATACTGATACCAATTATTTGTACGTTTATGTGCCCGATAAGCAATATACAATACAGATATTTATTTTAAAAAATAATTTGCCAAAAAATAACTTTTTATGTGTACCAATAACTGCCTCCCTGCATACAAAACAAATCTTATGTATACACCAATCAATAAAGTGCACCGTAACTAAAGTGTTTTTGTTTTAAGAGTAAAAAAGTTCAATTAAAATAAAGCGCATAATTATAACAAATGTCAAAAAATAAATACAACCATCTAAACCATAAATACAGGCTTTCTCTTTACATGATGTTAGCTCCACTTTATGCTAATCAAATACATCACTTTTGTATCGATAATCTATTCATTGTTGATTTAATTCATTATTTCAGTTATGTTTTAATGGAAAACATTTGACAGGTTTTGTATGTTACTCAGTGAGTTTGTCTCTTTTCTTAAAACCTAGCTGCATTTACTACATATCAGTTATTAATATAACGTGTCTAATGTGTGCATTAATTGCTGTTATCATAAATAAAGTTTACTGATTATGACAGCTTATAAATTTACCTGTGCATGCTGTTTGCTCGAGCAGGGTTTTCAAAACGCTCACAAGAGGGCGCCATTTATTGGAAAATCCCATATTAAAACGATATCTGATTGTGGTAAAATGCTTAAACTATCAAGAAAAAGATATTCTTAAATTGTTATAATGATCGATCTCAACTAATACGTTTTTTAAATAAATTGAGTCAACTTTAAGGAGAATAATGACTTTTTGCTGTGCCCACATCAATAAGTGTTTACTGTTCAACTGAAATTACTCCTATAATTCAAGCAAAGCATCATAGGACATTGTAAATATGTGGATACAGCCTAAACAAAATGACTTCCTGTGGCTCTTGATGACACTTTGAGGTCTTATAAAGCAAGACAATGAAAGTTTCTAGATATCAGATAACCTGCGGGTTTGTAAAATTAATATCAAAATGTAATTGTTAGGTGAACTGTCCTATTGATTCATGTTTGTCTAGTTCATCAGACGCAGATTTGTCTGTAAAGTGTTTGTCATCAATGGCAGGGTAAGAACCTGGGTCCGAGTCAGATGATTTTGGGAGTGATGGCCATAGACGTGTCTCTGGACGACATCAAGAGACTGACTCCACATTACACTGTGAGATATTGGTGTGATCTGCTCTTCTTTGTTTATGACTCTTTGCATAAAAAACTTTGCATTGCATTGAACTGTAGCAGCTGGGTCATGTTAACAGAACTGCTGCATTCTATGTGTTTAGGGAATCATGTTTTTGTTCTTAATGCCAGATACATTTAAAGAGGTAGCACTGAGTTAAACTATTTACCCTTTGAAGCAAATGTTTCATGTTAAATAGAGGCAGTGCAGCATGCAATTGTAGAGTTTTTGTGCCTGATGTTGTGTCCCTTTAGTTTAATGTCCAGGCCTGTAGCCAGCCTGGTCAAAAGGGTGGTTCTTTTTTTTTCAAAAAGTGGACATTTTTGCAATTATACCCCTCATTTTCTATTAAATTATGAAATTTAAATACTGCATTTTAGTAATATTTTCTATCTATTCTGGCAATATTTTGAATTAGCTTGCCGGATGGTCATCATTACCACACATTTTGAATATTTTAGCTGAAAAAGTATTCAAATCATATTTAATATGGTACGCTTTTGGTGCTTCACACCTCTTTATTGGTCAGGTTTTTTTTTTCACTTTGTTACTTGTAAAATGTTTTCTCAACAATACAGTAGCAAAAGATGACTTCTCCTACGTCAGATTATATGTTTTCTTGCACTGCTGCATGTTGGACCACTGAAAAGTCACACCTCAGCAAATTTCTAGACCTTTTCAGTGACCGTTAGGTCTTCCGAACCACCCAAGCCACCCTGGCTAAAGGCCAAATGCTAAAAATAGACATATTTTATTAGTTTAAATGAGTTTGATGCAGACTTTATATAATAATATTATTTTTTATTAAAGAAAAAACATTTATGTTTTCATATAAATTTTTGAATACAATATTAAACAAACAAACTGACTAAAAATCTCTGCTTACAATACACTGTAAAAAGTAAAGGTCCTTCAAATACCCTGTTGAGTACTCAAGGAACTTGTATTTTAAGGAATGTATTTTAAGTGCCTCAAAGCTTCCTGGACGAACCACTGACCTTTTTTGCTTGACCTTTTTGCATTAATAGGGATCCTTCAAGCCCTTTTTTCAATACCCAGGTTCTAGAGTCACTGTTTCCTCACACTGAGACCTCGAGTACTTTAAAAGTTACTGAAAGATCTGTAAACATGTAAAATGGTTCCTGGTGGATCTCTCTTTTAAAACCAGCACTTAAAGTAACCAAGACATTTTTGTGACAATTAAATAAGACAACGGCCAGCTTTAACAGTTAACCAATTTGTTTAAACAATAAACAATTGGAACAAATAAACAATAAAAACAATAATTCGATCTGTCTATGCAAAGGAAACCACATCATGTAGACTCAAACCCATAACTGAACTACTTGTGTCAACCTAGTGGGAGTATTTATAAACTTTTCACATGCACAAAGGTTGGCCAGTGATGATACTGCAGCCAATATGCTAAAAATACTCTTGTTTTTTGTTCTGTAAAGCTTGGGCCAAATGGATATTACTTCGCCATTGATCCCAACGGCTACGTTCTACTTCATCCCAACCTTCAACCCAAGGTACGGCTTTCACTCATGCCATTGCTATATGTTTTAATCCAAAACTGTGTACTGTATAGGATCACGGCTAAACAACCTTCACCACAGCTTATGAAATATTACAGGCCACCCACATGTGTGGAGGTCGTCTGGCCTTCATAATAAATATCATTTGTGCAATCCAAACACGTTCGTTCTGTTTAGCTCTAAGATAAAATGGCACTGAGGGCATTTATTCGAAACACATGATGATTAGTAAATGTTTAGTCAGTGATCCATGGATTAGTGAGCACTTTGTGTGGAACAAAGTAGAAATGTTGAAGAAACGGGCACTCCTTCGTGGAAAAAGTGACTCATTGGTAAATATTTTTGCTCAGAAATATGGTGTGTTGATTTATGGTATTGCTTTGAAAGTTGTTGTTGTTTGTGTGCAGGATCTCAAGTCTCAGGAACCTGTGACGCTGGACTTCTTGGATGCTGAGATGGAGGATGAAGTCAAAGTGGATGTGAGAACAAAACAAATGTATTAATGTTGACTTGATCTACTAATATTTCTAAACCCAAATAATTCATTTCCAAACATTAAGGATGTTTTTAGGCTCTATATTTTCAGACTGATCAGACTAGGGTTTGCATAAATTAGCTGAGCATAGCTACAAAAAATACACTGAGGACGTTTCCCGGCTTGAAAAAAAAAACAGCATATTCTGGTAAGGTATGATTTGATGCTTTGAGACCAGCAAAACCAGCATTAGAACCAGCAAGACCAGCATCGAGACCAGCAAAACCCCCATTGAAACCAGCATATCTGCATCAAAACATCCTTACCAGCATATGCTGTTTTTTTTTTTCAGCAAGGTTTTTAGCTTTTAGGGACTATTTGACCTACATCCACTAAGTTCAAGAGATTAAGTTGGATATCTATCTGTCACTATAGCTAATCCTAGTAAGAGTTGAGAACATGCTTACAACATACAAATCTTGCTAGCAACATTGTTAAATGTGTTAACAATTTGCTTATGCAAGTTACAAACATGATAGCAGTATGGTAAAATCACAACATTTTATAATATGTAAATGTAAAATGCTTTTTTTACTTGCTAGCAACTTGATTCATGCTAGCATAATTGTAAGCATGGTAGCAACAATCCATTTAAATCATGGATAAACATGTACGAAACTTTATAGATTAAGCTAGAAGCAAAAAGCATTTGCTAATTGATGTTTGCATAGTGTTAGCTATGTCATTACATGCTAGAAATATGCTAGTGTGCTAACTAATATTTGCTTGTTAAACATGTTAAAGGCATGTTAAAATGTTCGCCCAAAAAGGAAAAATAAATTTACTCAAACTGATTCTAAACTTTAAAATGAACCATTTTGAAGAATGCTGAAAACCTGTAAAGACAGACTTCCTTAGTAGTTTTGGGCAAACTATCCCTTTAATGTATTATTGCTATGTTAATGATAGGCATGCTAACATTCATTCCTGCAAGCAAATTGGTAAATCAGGGAGATAATAGCTATGTTAAATCATTTCAAATATACAAATGCATGCCAAAATGTGCATACAATGCTAGCAATATGTTGATTTTAGCACTATGTAACCATGTTTAAAATATAAACAGCATATTCAGGCTAGTAACATTGCTAAATAATGCTAGGATTTAGTCTTAACAGAGTCCAAAAATAACACATTAATAGTATTGATCTAATAAATATTTGTTATTAGGTGAGTTAACAATAATTACATTTTTTTTATATATATTTAGGTTGAACTTAAAGACTAAAAGCATGAGCTTATCTGTTTATCTTTCCTACTCTAAAATGAATGCAAGCTGGTGTGATCCGATGTTGTAACATTGCTTGTACAGCTGTTCAAGTCAATAACAAACTGATTATCGAAGAATCAACAAATAGCAGTGTTCTCAGTACTATGTGATATTGTAACAATATGTTGAATATTAAAATTACAAATATTCTCACTTTTAGAGTTACTATTATTACCATATTATATTATGTTATGTTGTATATTATATTTACATATATATATATATATATATATACATATTACATTATATTATATTATATTATTTTATTTTATATTATATTATAATAGTAAATAAAAGCAGAAAATGTATTAAAAAAGAGAAGCAGAACTTTAGAAAATCCAGTGGTGTGTTTTTACAACATTAGGCAATACAAATGTCTGTCTGTCCGTCTGCCTGTAGATCAGAAGAAGCATGATAGATGGTGAAAGAAGTCAAATACGCTTCCACACACTTATGAAGTCACAGGATGAGGTAAGCATACACACTTTCAACTGGTAATGCTTTTCAGCTGATTAAGAGCCAATATTATACAGCTAAAGGAAATAAATAGAAGCGACCCCTTGAAAAATCTGCAATTTCTATGGATTTATTAGGCATGGGGTTATAGTAAATGTTAATATTTATACTTATATAGACTTATACTTACATAGTCTATGAATATATAAACATTTCCTTCAAGTCTCAAAGGCAAATAATGTCATTTTGTGATTTCTTTTTCAGAAAATCAACATGAATCAGGGTTATTTCACTATTGATTTCCTAACACTTCTGAAATTAAAACATTGGTACTCTGTAGAACATGGCTGCTTTTTTTGTATTTTCAAACACAAAAATGCTCTTAACTATGAAGATATTTTTGGTGCAAAAATACCAAGTACACCTGTAAAAGTGTAATTTGTAGTTGTAAAGAATAGCTACAAATGTGTTTTATTAATTTTTATTTCTGTGAATGCCAATTTATTTATTTATTTATTCATTCATCCATCCATCCATCCATCCATCCATCCATCCATCCATCCATCCATCCATCCATCCATCCATCCATCCATCCATCCATCCATTTATTCATTTATGTATTTATTTAATTGTTTATTTATTTATTTGTTTATTTATTTATTTTCTTTACAACTAAAAATGACACTTTAACAGCTGCTTGGCAGTTTTGCACCAAAAATCTTTTTATACATCAAGGGCGATTTTATTTCATTTCAGTTTTTGAAGAAATTTCATTAACAGGGTGCATAATAAAATAAAAATGCTTTATTTACTTTTTTATTATTATTTTTCTATTATTCTTTATTTAAGCAGGTAAAATGCATTCATAGATCTCAAGATCTTATTTACAAGTGTGACCTTGCCAAGAGGTCTGCACCACACATTTAAAATAATAATAATAATAATGCAGAATATTAAGAGTATATTATTGAAGGCTAATTTTCCTATTTCAGTCCGAACCCTAGGAACCGCCAGATATCACATGAGCATAAAGCACAGTGGCTTTTCGTCCTTTGAAGAAGGGAGCATACGTGGGGGCTAGACCAAGGAAAGCTTTATAAACCAGAGTGTCATATAGTAAAAGAAGGACACTTAGCTTTAGCTTACAGTTCATAATGTGTTCATTGACTATACGTCCTGTAACAAACCGCAAGTCACTGTAATAGACAGTGTTCAAAGACTGGAGACATTTGATTGAGGCATTACTATACAAAACATCACCATAGTTAAGCAACCCTAAAATGTTGCAGATACCAGATGTTTAAGCTCTGATGGAGAAAAAGGGTTTGTTTCGATATTAAACCTCAAGATTTACTCTAAGTTTGCAAACCAAGCTAACTATGTGTGCTGTAAATGAAAGCTACTGATCGAGTAAAAAGCCTATTTTACTCAAATGCATAACTATAAATCATAAACAGAGAAAATGTGAATGTTCAAGTAGTTTCTATTTTTAATCTATAGATGGATGCTGGAAGTTAAATGGACTGGACATAAAATGACATTTATTGGTTTGTTATTGGTTTCTAAAAGTTTCTGTTAATAGTTTACAGCAAAAAATATATTGTGTTAGGTTTAAAGAAAGTTGTTATTCTAGTTGTGTTGTTGTTAAATACAGTAGATGACATTTGTCTAAATAGAGCTTGATTGACCTCATTTTCTTTTGACATAAACAATGAATATTTTTTTCTCCTCTTAAATGTTTTTGGGTCGTAGTCCACCAGTTGAGAAACCCTGTGCTACAATACTTGTTATTCAGAAGTAAAAAAGGCTGAATGTAGTAGTTCATTGAACTTCTGAGTGTTGTTTTAATGTCATTGCAGCGTTACATAGACAAGGGCTTCAGGACGTACACTTGGTCTCCAGTCACTGACGCAGATTACAGGTCAGAAAGTTTTAAAATATTTTATTTTATTTTATAAAACAATTGAAAATGGGCTTGTCCATATTTGACCCAAATTTACAAGCAAATTAGAATTTTTTTTTTATGTTTGTGTTTAAATTTTTTTTCTGTAAATTTTTGTAGCATTGTTGCATGTTTATATTATACGAGTGAGCTTCTTCCTGTGGGTTACAAGTAAACAAAAAAAGTATTTATTTATTAGTCTTTTTATCTTTTATGTTTTGTTTTGTTGAAAATATGGTCTTTTTGTTTTGTTTTTGGTTTGTGGTTTTTTATTGTGAAGGTTTTGTGTTTTTATATTGTGAAGGTGTGTTTGTTTATGTTTTGTTTATTTTTGTAATATATTTCTGTTTTATTTGTAAAAACCTTTTGTCTTTTTTATTTATTATTTTGTTCTGTTTTGTTTTTCTCTTGTTTTGACATGTTTTTTTCATTGTGAAGGTGTGTTTGTTTCTTTTTGTTTTGTTTATTTTTGTAATATATTTCTACATTTTATTTGTAAAGCCTATTGTCTTTTTTATTTATTATTTTTATTCTGTTTTGTTTTGTTTTTACTGTGTTTTGACATGTTTTTATATTGTAAAGGTGCGTTTGTTTCTGTTTGTTGTTTATTTTTGTAATATATTTCTATGTTTTATTGTATTGCTTTTTCTATTTTAGTTATTGTTTTGTTCTGTTTTGTTTTTCTCTTGTTCTGATAAAAGTTTTTATATTGTGAAGGTGTGTTTGTTTACAAGGGTTACAAGGCAACATAAATGTTTCTTCAAATCGCCACTAGAGGACGCTGTTCAAAATCCTAATGACCAGTGTTCTGCAGAAAATGCTACATAACTCTTCTTAAAAGACACATAAAAGAAAAACAAAATAATTCATCCACATGATGAGGCGAAAATTTTTACAGCTTTTTAATTCACAATGTGTTAATTTTTTACTGCAGATATAATGTCCTTGTTTATTCCGGATGTCTTTTTTTCTAGCCTTGCGTTAGTTCTGCCAGATTACAGCATGAGCTACATCAAGGCCACTATAGGAGACACCATCACTCAGGCCAAATGTAAGTACCAGCACTCACTTTATCAAACTCAGAGAACTTTCAAACTTTATCAAACTCCTGGTTTTTATCCAGAAAACCCCCACAGTCCAAACCCTGTGCCTCCCTGAAAGATACTGCAGGTGAACAAAATGAAAAAAAGTTATCACCATACTAACCCAGTTGATTGATTACATATTATATATATATATATATATTATAAGTTTTCTAAAATATTTTTAAAAAGACATTATTTCGTTAAACCTGTGCTAACTCTCATACATTTCTAGCACAAAATCTGAACACCGGATGAAGTCAGGTTCAAAATTATTTTTTAATATTGGTCAAATTACAATCATGGGACTTTTTGGAATTATTCTTTGAAGAATAAAATGCGTATAATTAATTATGTATTAACAATTAGAACCCAGAGACATAATTAAATCTAAAGATTGGTGTGTGTCAAAGCTGCTGATTTATGGCTCAGTCCATTTTGATTGTTATAAATATATAGATATAGTAGTTGAAGTTTACAGACACATGTTGATAAAGAGTGAGATATAAAACACTTAAAAGTGCATCTTGAACATTTTCTTCACATCAAACTTAATGACAAAATTGATAGAGTAAGAAAAGAGACATTTAAAGTGCAATTGGATTGTTTTCTTTACATTAGACGTAATGCCAATAAGACAAGAAGACACTAAGCCCCCAACCTCAAAATTAATAGATGCAAAAAATGTATAAAATACTGCCTGCAGTGTCTTGCCAAAAGCGTTTCACCTTGTGCATATCAGTCCATATTTCTTCCAGACGTGCCTCTGTGCCATGTTTACCTTCTCATCTTCTTCCATGTGGCTTTATGGAGAGGAAAATGAGTCTTAAACGTGCCTCCTCTCCGCAATATTCTTATTCAAAGCTTCTGATGTTGAATAAAATATTGTGAAATCCCTCATGTTCTTTTCCCTGTCTGTCTTCAGCTTGGATCTTGGAAAATCTCGGCAAGTATTTTCTTCTTTGCTGATATTGTTTTTATTTATTTGTCTTCTGAAAATAATCAGTCTAAGCTGTTTAAAGTTACTTTTAAAAGACTTTATAAAAGTTTAAAGACTTTTATTTTAAGTTAAATTAGAAAAATGTTAAGAAGAGGGAATATACTCGGAATATATGTAGCATAAGTAGTACACTTAAAAAAATGCTGTTTGTTCAAACTACTTATTTAAAATGAGCTGAAACAACACAATTCTTGAGGATTTTTTGTGATTTTATATTCAATCCATTTCAATTTATTTAAAAAAAAAAAAGAAGAAGAAGTTAACTCTTGTTATCCCAACACAAATCGATTGTATGGAAAAAATTTTGAAATGTATGAGCAAAAACGACTATAGATATACATTTTTTACAAATATGGCCAGAAATTGCAAGGTGGTACCACTGTCCTAATATTATAGTGATTATAGAAAATGCTCTTGTCATTTTAAAAATAGTGCACAAACATTGGCCTGCTTTGCATGCACATTTTTCTTGGCTGAATAAATCAGTTGCGATGCCTTTCTGCTTCCAACTCTGCTGTTTATCATTGGCCGAGTGTCATGAAGTTTGAATACTACATTTCCTCACGTTTCCTGAAAGCGTGTGTGTGTGTGCGAGAGCATCGGGAGACGTTTAGTGAATATTTTGCTGGAGGTTTGGAAGGTGAAACCGCAGAGGACATGAGTGTGACTCTTTGTGCTCTGAACCGGTACTTTTATCTCCGGCCCGTCGCTCGCTGAATCATCTGGATGCTTTCAAAGACTCGTAAAGGGCCGCTTTAACAAAATACAGGCCTCGCTCTTTAGAAAGCATGTCCTCTGTGTGTGTGTTCATGTCCAGGTGCGGATGTGGTATGCGTGTGTCCTATTTTAACTTTAAAAAGAGGCTTTGAAATAACACTAGTCTGTGATAAATTAAATTAAAATTCACTGTTAATTTCCTCTTACCCTTCAGGTCATCCAAGATTGTAGATGCAGTAGAAAATGAAAGATGTTTTTTTAAAAAAAATTAGCAGAAACTGTGATCCTTTATGATTCATAAAATGTAAGTTAAAAGTTACTGGCATGTTGAGAATCATAAAAACGACATGCAGGTAACACAAAATTAATACCTGTGGCTTTTGATGATATATTGAGGTTTAATGAATTGAAACCATCTGCCTGTGTTAGGAACTCTCTAACTTTCTGCAAAATGAAAAAGGTCATTTTTAATGGAATGAGGGTAAATAGATTAACAGTGAATGTTCATTTTTTTAGTTTATTTATTTATTTTTTTGCCCCTATAATGCTATTTTTAAGGGTTGCCAATTTAGTTTAGGAGCTTTTAGTCTTGTCGTATTATAAACTTTTCTCACATTGTCTCAAATGGCATGTTCAAGGATCTAGTCATCTAGTAATCTCTATGCTCTGATCAAATGTGCTACTTTTTTGAGACCGATCTAATGTTTATAGCATTGAATTGTAAACAGAATTGTACTAATAGTATAATCCCAGCTTAAAGTTTTATTACATTTAGGCGGCGCGGGAATACATTTCTGAATAAAACGCAGTAGCAGTCAGTAACTCTGGTGTCATTTGAATGGAAGCTGGCAGTCTAACAAAATTTTGCTCCTGAGTCCCGATGTTATTTCGGAACAGCATATCAGGGATTTTCCCTTATTCTTGTTGAGCACCGGTACAGCCAGTGCTCATGACTGTTACACATGATGAACATATGGACCAGTGCTTTCTGCACATGCTTTTTATTCACACAGTCTGTGTGAATAATCTGCATAATGATCCTCAGAACGGGCTTTACCAACATGGGAGAGCAAAGTAAACATGCACTGTCCTTCAGATTGCATTAGAAAACGGTCAGTTTACAGTTAGGAAACCCACATCAGGCAAGTTTGATTTACAGGAGTCTTTTTCATGCATCAGAAACAAAAATTTTAAAAAATACTTTTTCCATGATGTGATAATGTAGAAAACATAGATTTCTGTTTGGGTGCGCACATCCGTGATGCAAATCGGCAACTGTCCACGGTGCCTATCTACGACTCATTACACTGTTTATATTTTTCCGTGGCACAGATCGCCATCTGAATAGTTTCATTTTGAATAACATGCAAAAGTGCGAATGTTACTTCCAACTGTCATATGCGTGTAACAGTGCAGCACTGAGTGGCACATCTAGTGTGTGACCAGCTTCAGAAGACTGGAATCTCATGTCTCATTACAAAGGGGCAAACAAAACTGACATTTAGCCTACAATCTTTGCACAAACCTACATATTTATCTGTTATCTCTCTCTTTTGGTAGTACCCAATTTAAATGTGAAATTTTGGAAACCAGATCTAAATTTAGCTGTAAAAGTCAGGTTAGGTAGAAAATTATTCTAAGCAGGTAACGGGTAAACAAAGACTGAATGTATAGCGGGAGCAGTCGGGTGCGGAATAAAACCTAGCTGGAGCGAGACTAAAAACCCACACAGACCTCTATGTTCAAGTTTCCTGTTTTTTAGCCAATGTATTAACATACTTTTTGGTTATAATGACTTTATTTAAAAAAAAAAAAAAAAAAACATCACATTTTACTCTCAGGTTATATTAATTTTTGCAAAACATTATTTAACACATTATTCAGACATTCCATTAACATTAATGTTCTAATAATGATTCACTAATATTCTCAGTAAGTAATAGAAATGTTATTTGTGGACGGTTCCTGTGTTTTAGAGGTTATACATTATTTTTTGATAATAATAACATTGTTCTAAAATATTTTCAGAACTTTTTTTTCTCAAAATGTTTACCACTTTTACATTTGTCCTTCTTTGTATAAAATTAGAGCGAATTCAGTATAGTAGATGTACATAAGCCTGTCGACGTTTATTATTTTCTGTTTCTTCATCACAATCCAATTGGAATACAGAATACATTCTGAACTATTAATAATTGGTTCGGAATCGAGGAAAACAGATTTTTTCTACTGTAATAATAATATGATGTTATATTTGATATAATATGTTTAGTTATAATATGTAATTGTAATATGTCTCCCTGAAGGCTTATAGACACGTTTGGAAGCAGCCAATGAAAAACATATTCTGGCATTGTACAAATTTGCTGCTTACTTCTGAATAGTAATATATTGATATATTGGTACTAGCCAATAAATGCTTATTTTTGCTATTATCTTTACCAGCCTGATAAGAAATTTTTTTTTTTTTGCAATAAATAAATAGTTTTCACTTGTTTATCCACTTTCAAAATTTCTACACCATTTCTACATGATTCCATTTCTACTTCTGCAGTAAGTCTAGTTACTGGCAATTTTTTCAGGCAATCGTTTAGTTCTTTTGGGCCTTTTAGACCTTTTAGATTCACATAAAGCTACATGAAAGGCAATATCCAAAAAAAATAGCAAAATAGGGGCACTTTAAAGAAAGTGACATTTCCGGCTGAAATAATGGTGCCCTTCTCCATCTGTCATCATACCAATGCATGCATAATTCATTAACATTTCTCGTCGACTGACAATGAACAGAAAGCCTCTGATCAGAGTGCAATATTTTTATTCAAGTCTTGTTCTGTGAATAAAATATTGGTGTCCTTTGACCCCTGTGGTTTTACCCTGTTTCTCTTTCCCTCCTCTCCTTGGTAAATCGCTCCCTCCTTCCCTCTTTGCGGCGTTTGACCCTTCTGAAGCTGGCAAGTACTGTTTTTCTCTCCCTTCTGTCTTTTCCTTCATGTTCGGACCTCTGAATGTGACGTCTGACCTCTCTCATGTTTGAGTCTGTCATCTGGTTTCAGAGAAAACAAACATGGCCAACAAAAAAAAGAGAAAAAGCCATGCATTTCAAGGAGATATTTAATGTTTATAATGTTTTGTATATATTCAAGATCCCATACAATCACATTTATGGACTTAAGGATTGATTAATACTACCCCTTTAAAAAATAGAACAAAACAGAAAAGATCAAAAATCATTCTGACCTTTTACTGCACTTTTAAAATTTAAAAATCCCTTAACTTTTATTTTTATTATAAAAAACAAATATAAATACTCATACTTTTACGATTTTTTTTTACATGATTCAAGTTTATTTATTTATTTATTTATTTAGAAAAATGTACAACATTTTTAAGTACAATTTATTTTACAATTTTACTTATTTTAAATCTAAAAACATTTACTTATATAGCAATCAATTAATCAAATCACAGTACAATATCCTAAATTAAATGTTAGATTTTTTCATCTAAACTTTGCTCATTTTTTTTCCCAAAACCTTATTTTAATTATTTATTATTTTATTATTTAAAACCTTATTTTATTATTTTTCATTTTGGTTAGAATTTTTTCAAACCCTATTTTGAATATCTATTATTATTAGTATTATTATTAGTACTATGTACTAAAATTATAATATTATATTAACCTTATTAGTATTATTATACATTCATTTATTTCAGTAAATAAATAATAAGTCATTTTTGTTAATAAATTGTATTTTTTTCAATAAGTCTATACTTGTCTATCTACAATACCTGACAAAAGTCTTGTCATCAATCGAGAAAAGTGACAGAAGGAATATTTTCTGATGAATCATCTGTTAAACTACGTCCCATTCATCACAAATACTGCAGAAAACCTATTGTAACCTGCATGGACCCAAGATTCTCACAAAAATCAGTCAAGTTTGGTGATGGAGAAATCATGGTTTGGGGTTACATTCAGAATTGGGGCATGCGAGAGGTATAATGACATTTGTGGTGCCTATTTAATTACAAATCACAGTAGAGGGCAAATTTAAGGCAGGAAAGAGCTCCTTCTTATACTTCAGCCTCCACATCAAAGTTCCTGAAAGCAAAGTGTATAGATGCAGTCCTCCAAGCTCATGGAAGTCATACACAATATTAATTCAATTTCTACTCCACCATAACTTTATATTCTATACTGTACATTATTTATGTTAAGAGAGAAGACTTTTGTCTAAGCAACATCAGACCTTAGTTTCCTGATTAAATAATTAAAAATTAAGGGTTGATCATATTTTATTTTGGTAAAATAAACTTAATCTAGAGGCCTTTGTCTTTCATATAAGCCACTTCTGATAACAAATGATCAACTACAAACTTTTTCTATCTAATTTTCAACCACTGTATTGGTATATTACCGACTGAGTTGCTGCCTTTTGGCCACCCATGTTTTGAGTTTGTGTCTGAACAGCAGAGAAACTGCACTACTACACAGAAGTAGTAGCTCAGACTCACATATCCACACATAAGCACAGAACTGTGTTTTACTTGATTCTGTATATCTGTATCATATTAGTTTACTGCTGTGTAATGACAGAATGTATTGAACTGATCTTTGATCTCGCAGATTTCTGATACTTTCATTTTTTCCTCCAGTTTCTGAAAGCCTGCAGGTGGACAAGTTCGAGGAGTATGGATATACTTTAATAGCACCCAGGTCAGTTTCTTAAAGTGACGTTATGCAACAAAAATGAAAATAATACTGTCATGATTTACTCACCCTTGTTCCAAACCTGAACTTCATTCATCTGTTGAACACAAAAGATTATATTTTAAAGAATGTTTAAAACCAGTAACCATTGACTTCAATAGTATTTGTGTTTTTGCACTTTGGATGTCAAGTGCTGTGTTTTCATCCAAAGATTTTAGATGTTAGAAAAACTGTACAAAACTGGAAACTGCATAAAACTTTTGCAAATAAAGCATAATTTTCACCCAATGAGTCAAAGAAAACTATTTAACATTTCTACAATTTTAGAATGACCAAAACAACATTTTGGATGTTTAACAATGTGGTCAGATCACTGGTTTGTTCATTAATGCCATCCCATTGTGCATATTTTTGTTATTAGATGATCTGGTTAAAATTAAATCACCTTTTTCTGATGCGTTTGCTGGAATTTATTTGGTAAATGTGTTTCCATTTTAGTTTATGTGCATTTTTGTACATCAGATTAAAAGTTTAATCTACTCAGTTGGTAAATATAAACAGCAAATGTCTACCGGTTACAACCTTTTTCTAAATGTCTAAAAAGTCTTTTTGTGTTAATCAGAAAAAAAAACATTTAAAAGAAAGGTTTAGAATCAATTAAGGAATAATAACTGGCGAGTAATTGTTCATTTTTGTGTGAACTGCCCCTTTAAAATCTGTTATTATGAACATTTATTTTTTTAATAAGCATATTACTTTGTTTCTGCCAAATGATACTGAGAGATGTACTTTTTTACTGTGTTTTAGAGATTACTGTGAAGACCTGAAGGCTCAGAATGAAAACATGACACAGTTCCTCATCGACTTCAACGAGTACATCGACGTAAAGACCCCCAATGACCCACAGTGTGAGTATCTTTAGCTTAATTCATTTTTTAAACTTATGCTGAATATTGCAACTGCTTACAGCTTAAATGGTTTATGAACTCATGATCTTCATTACTGTTGCCACGATTGCCCAACTTTTTCAAGGTAAATCACAGTAAATTTTGCAAGTAAAAATGTTAAGTCTTTAAAACCATAATTAATTATTGCAATATTTTTTTTAAACTCACGGTAAATCATGTAACACTCAGATTAGCTCATTGCAAATAGCTACAATGTAAATGCATGTTTATATAGACAGTTATTAAATAGATATTTATATAAACCATTTTGAAGGATGTAAACAAAGACAATGGTCCTTACATAGTTCCTGTTTTACATTCTTAATTTCTATAGCTTCTAAAAATCCAAAAAGGTCCACATATTGTTAAATGATAGCTATTTTAATGTGAAGGTATGGTTATGTTGGCTCTTTTTACAGTTATGAAATAATTTTACAACAAGCAGGAAATGTATGGGCCAATCATGGGACATTACCACATTGAAATGGTCTATATACTGTTTTGTTGTAATTGTTGTCATTTTACATTGAATCTTTAATTTAATGCTGCAGTGTGAATTTGCATTGAGAATACTGAGCTGACAAAATTTAACATAACCTTTTCAGATTTTATAAAGCAGCCTTACTTGTACAGTATGACATTTTGTGACAAACAAGGTAAACATGGATCCTTACGAGGTAGTTTTCCAAGTGCAAGATTAGCAAACAATAAATAAGCACACACACAATAATAATAGTCACATTTAAATTATCATAATTAATAAGTAATCAAATACAAAATGTTGGGATATTTATATATCTTTTGTTACTCAAAATGTATTTGTTGTTTGTTAAATTTCAGATACAAAATTGCTTTAACTGTGTGAGAGTTATTTATCAACATTTTTAAAACATTACCAACACTGTGGTAAGAGTAATAATTCTTTGTGATTATTGTTGACTTGTAATTGACTTGGAAAACATGCAGATATTTTGATAACTTTTACGTAAAACTAGTTGCCACTATATAAGCATTATATAAATTAAATAAACAAATGTAATATTTATAAAAGTATTGTTAAGAACTGATTTTTAATTAATCAGGATTCAAAGTTGCTGCACTTTTTAATATGATTAATTTTTTAATTTCATTAATACTATTTCTACTAATACTAAGTAATTTGTAGATGGACTTTTTAACATTATCATTATATATTATAATGCATTAATATTTAAAATCAAAGAGCATTGTAAGATTTTAAGGCAAATACTTTAAAATTAACATTAACCAATCATTATCACCTTACTTTTATTGATTGTTTTCAAGTTTCCTAAAATTTTATGTTTGAATATGCAAATGAGACATCATTCAATTAAATATGAAGTAATTTACACACATTTCTGAAAAGTTAACTTAAGTATTTGCATAGACTTAAAAACGTTATTAAAAACGTAAAACTATTGCTGTGCCTGAAAGCTTCTCCACATCAACCACAGACCTCACACACATTTTCTTGATTAAATTAAGTGTTTAGTTGTGAGTTTAGTTGTAATCTAATAGTATTTATTGCTTTTTTGTTGACCATGTTAATGCTGAGTAAACAGGCTTTAGACACACACACGCACACACACACACACAGAGGCCGCTTTGATCTCCGCGTCAGTCGTGCTGCTCTAATCAGTCAGTTTGCTTCACATGTGTTGAATGTGTCGGTTTGGCTGTGAGACTTTTTACTTAAGAGCTAAACCCCCAATTATGCACCAATTACCCCGTGTGAAGGAGGAAAAACAGGAACATGTCACTGAAACAGAGAGAGGGAAAGAAGATGTGTGACGGGACATCTGTGAGGTTAATGGGAATTAATTAAGACAAAAGCATTTATATTAACTTAAATTCTAAAAATAAATATAATTTTGTGAATAAATTAAATTTAATAAATCATATATATATTTTTTTACAGTCTGTGGTATTAAAGGGGTGGTCCACTACGATATCATATTTTAAAACTTAGTTGATGTGTAATGTAGCTGCGTGAACATAACACCTCAGAATGTAAGATGCTCAAAATTCAATGCAAAGGGAGACATTTTCTTTTACAGAGTTAGCTTAGCAGAGCCGACAGTGAACGAAGTTTGGGAATTAAAAAAAAAATACATCCAGGTTAGTGAGATCACAAGGATATAAACAATGGGAAATGCTGTTTGGCACTGCTAACAATTTAGCTACAAATCCATATTTATCAGTCAAACCGCTGTAAACAGCCACAAATTTCAGCAGCACGTGCAGTGTCTCTCTATGCGGCTGCTTTCCGTGCACTCTATATCTCAAATAACAGACTCGCAAAAGATATGAGAATGTTTTTACATTACTTACATATGCTTATTCCAAATATATGTGAAAGACTCTTGTCAGATTTTATTTTAGAGAGCAGGTGTGGGCTGTGCACTCTTCATTTAAATGTAAAATGTAAATGTTAATTTCTGTTTTATTCAGGCAGTTAGCGCTGCTAACAGCTGCTCAGAGCCTCTGACTGGACTCTTTACAAAGCACAAAATCGTTCGCTTGTAGGGGAGTGAGGTGAAGCCGATCCGCGAATCACAGCACATTATGTTAGCAGACCAATCAGAGCCTCTTGAGAGCAGACCTTTCAGAGGATTCAGGAAATATGTCATTCGTTTACATGTTAGCTGAGTAGCTGTACATAATCAAAAAAAGGTATATGAAAAAAAATAACGTGATTTTCTACAAGCGAAGCATGAGCACACATTGCTTTGCATCTTATAAACACAAGCAAGCCTTAAAAATACACTGTGGATCACCCCTTTAAGGCTTATATACATTCATTTTTATTAAATAAATAAATAAATACATGTTAAATAGTATTTTATGTATGTTAATGTTTAATAAAAATAAAAATTAATAAATAAATACTTTAAAAATAAAGCATTTATATAATTTCTAAATGCGTTAGGAGAATTAAATTAAATTGCTGTAAATAATTAAATACAAAATATAATATGTATATTTATTGTTAAATTAAGCCTTCATCACTAAAAAAATGAAAAAATAAATATGTATTACAAAGATTAATAAATATAAGTAAATAAATTATTTTAAAGTAATGTATTTATCTAAATGAAATTAAAAAGTAAAATTGTTTTGGGTAATTTAATTTCATTTAATTTCTATTAAAAATGTATTAGAGGAATTAAATTAAACTGCTATAACTAATTGAATAGAAAATATAACATGTATATTTATTATTAAATTAAACCTTCATCACTAATAAAGGAATAAATAAATATTTATTATGAATAAAAATAAATATAAGTAAATACACACTTTCAAAATAATGTATCTTATCTCAATCAAATTAAAAAGTAAAATTGTTTGGGTAATTTCTTTATAATTTAATTTAATTTAATTTAATTTAATTTAATTTAATTTAATTTAATTTAATTTAATTTAATTTAATTTAATTTAATTTAATTTAATTTAATTTAATTTAATTTAATTTAATTTGAAATCTGTTAAGTCCTAAAATTTGATTACTGTTAGATCACTCTGTAAGTTCTGTAAGGATCCAACATAACAAACATTCCGGGTCAATCATCACCAGATAATTTCCATTTGTTTCTCATTCAAATTAAACTTCCTCATGAACACAGACAATGTCAATACACCAGTAAAACATCCCTGTAAACACTCAGTTTTGTGGCTATTTGTCAGTGCGGCCTGGTATTTTAAGTCCATGATTTCCTCGCTGTCAAACACAGTGGATCAGTTGAATTGTGTTCCTGCGCTGCTCTCAATCAGATCCTAATGAAAAGCATGCAGCGATCCGAATAAAGTTGTACACCAGCTGCTCTTTCTGAAGTGTGTGTGTTTTGTCGTAAAGGCTTTGCGGTAATGAACTGCAGTGCGATGTTATAAAACACTTGAACGCTCTGAACATGCCCACATCAGGAAAAAAAAAGCCTTTGAACACTTACTGTCGTTTCATACCGCCGAAGAATAACAATCGTGTTCCACGTCCCGGAAAATTAATCTACGTGTTACTTTGCGACGCGTTTGGGGTTTTTTTCACATCGGTGTCTCGCTTGGTTTTTATGAAGTTCTACTTATTTACGACTTTGGCATTGTTTGCCTCAAAGGTCAGAAAGTAGAGCCTGTTTTTACTCATGACCAACAGGTGTTTATGCATTTATCATAGGTGAAGCCTGTAATGATGTAAAATGCTTTGTTTGCTCCTGTTGTTCAAAAGCCCTTGTGATTGGAAGGGATGGCGAAAATAAAAGAGTTGTGTGTTATTTTTTAGGCAATATGGACTTAATGAATCGACTACTGTTGGATGCTGGCATCACGGCTGAACTGGTCAAACACTGGAACAAAAATCAATTGTGAGTTATAAATGCAAAAAAAAAAAAAAAGGCCAAGTGATATATTATTCACTTATTACACCAGAATCTGCGTTTAATATACAATTTCACTACAGAAGAGTCGAGCTTTAAATATGAAAATGATCAAAGTTATTATCATCTTTGTACAAGATGCTAATGGTCTAATATTTTTCAATTAGTTATGCTAAGCTAAGCTAAAAGTCCCACCAGACCCTCAGATCAGCAAAATATATTGACAAATGCTAAAACGCTACTTTTTAACTTAGTTGAAAAATGAGCATTCTTTTAAAAGAGTTATTTTAAGATGTGTTCCTCTAGATTATTACAAACAAATGACACTAAATACACCTGTAAATGGGATCTAAAACATCTTCTAAACATGCTGTAGATGACTATGAATTAAATCAGATTGTGGTCATGGTGTAAATATTCCTGTGTTTGAAACCATTTAAACAGCCATAAAAGCTGTAATGACAAAGATTTAAGAGATTAAGATTGAAACTTTCAAGAAGATTTCAATAAAATAAACCTTTTAAATGTTTAAATTTAGCTATTTTTGGTTTACACAGGCTATGAACTTGATTTAAACTTTCAAAAAGATTTCAAGAAATATACTTTATCTATATTTTTGGTTTATATGCGCTATCAATACTATGTCATCAAAATTTGTAAAATTCAAACTGGCAAATTAAAAAAAAATTAAGTTTTTAAATCAGACTGTAGGGTTGAAACTCACAACTTTGAGGAAAAAAAGTCAGAATTGTGAAATGAGAGATTGCTATATATTTTTCTTTTCATGCTTTCAGTCTAATTTTTTTATTTATTTTTTTTTTCAGGAGTGACAGAATCAAGGCTAAGTTTGTGGCGACAGATGGTGGTGTCACTAGAGTATATCCTGCAAGGTTTATTACATTTTACAGCTTCAGGAAAACAATACCAAGCAGGTCTATGGCATTTTTGGGTAAAAGCCTGTTTTCCTTGTTTTTTTTTATTTTTATTTGCAGTGCTGGTTCAGAATGGACCGGACAGGCCGAAACATATGAGTCAAGTTTCTACAAGAGAAGCTTGGACAATGATCTCTATGTATTTACACCACTGCCATTCACAGGAAATAGTATGTGTGTGTTTGTGGTACTTATATGTATAAGTGTGTTTGACTTTTCGTACTGTATGGTTTACCTGACTTTTTATGTCCTCTACATTTCAGAAACCGAAGAGTCAGTTTTAGTGAGCAGAGCAATGGACTTGAGGATCGATGAATTCTGGCTAAAACCAGCAGGTGAGATTATGACATTATAATGTTATCGCTTACCATAAACACACTGTAGATAGTCACTGAACTATACAAGGAACTATTATTATAAGTCAAGTTATGAAATGGCATGTTGAGTTTTATCAAAACTTAGTGACCAATTATAAAAGCTTATAGACTATTTAAAGTTGATTTTCTGTTTTCTTTAGCTGTTTTGTGAGTAAAAAGCAGGAATAATCCTTTATTTTACCATGCGTGTTATTTACTGTACTTGCTTAAATTCCATTCGAATTTATAGTAATGGTTTCATTTGAAACCACTTGACAATTAACAGTTTTTACAAATTCAGTAACTGCATTCTGTGATATACAGCTTGTTTCTGTACACGTATAGCATCACAATAAATATATACTATAATTATACTTCTATAAACCTATATATGTAGTTTTTATTAAGTGCTTTTATTGTATTTTTTTAGTTGTCGGTGTGAAACTGGATGTTCAATCCTGGATGGAAAGCTTCATGAATACTACAATTACGCCCAAAGTGAGTGCAAAATACAATATATTTTAAACTATGGTAGATGGGAAATTGTTTAAAATTTCAATAAACATAGCTAATTAAATGATTAATAAAGCTAAATCATAATAAATATATATATTTTTTGTACTAATAAATGCTGCAGCTGACATAGGCACATCATTATTAAGAAAGTTTTGTGGTAATTGATGGATATAAATGAGAAAATGAGCAGGCCCAATGAAAATACAATAAACTTATGCATGTTGATAAAAAACATTATATTATTGCTATGTTTGTATAATGCTGTTATGAATCTGTGTGTATTTTTTCTTTCCGCAGTGTGAAGGTGAAATATGTGGATGCAGGAGGAACGATGAGGTAAGATTAATTACTGTATACTTACTATCTTTCAAAAGTTTGGGTTCTGTACGATTTTGTTATATTTTTAAAGAAAGTTTCTGGGTCTTTTCAGTAAAAGCAGTAATATTGTCAAATATTGCTATAATTTATGCATTTTAAGGCATTTTCAACATCATTAATCACATAATCCTTCAGCAATACCTATAATTGCATGGTTTACTTTTTATGTGCATTTTTAAGAATGGTTTAATTATTAGAAATGTCACATTTTCAAATATACATTTTTTATGACATAATGAAAAGCCTTTAGTACTGCACTTACAGTCGCATTAACTTTTAATTATTGATTTTTTTTTTATTATTTGTAAATCCGTTTTATTTCACATTGTTATTTCCTAAGGGTATAGTTTTTTTTTTCAGAATGAAAGGAAATATTTATATTATTAATAAAAAATTCCCCAAACAGTAGTCTATATTACTATAAAACTGTATTAAACTTTCTCTCTAGTATCTGGACTGTGTTCTTCTAGACGATGGAGGATTCCTTGTCATGGCCAATCAGGACAAATACATTGACCAGGTGAGTCTCTCCACCTTTTTGTGCAGAGTTTGCGAATGGGTAATCTTTTTAACTATTCTTCTGCAGATGAAGTAGTTGGTTTCTGTCTATGGGTGAAGATTGTTTTTTTTTTTCTATAATTTATTTTTGGGCATACTTATATAGTTCGAGAGAAAAATTGTGTTGTGAAAAAAGTGATGTACCTATGCTTTTGGGGCTTTTAGCGTCTCAATTGAGAATCGTGCTTGCATAGCATAAGCTGGTAGATTCATTGCCAAAATGTATAGAAATATAAGAAATTATTGAAGTGTTATGGCTGGGTCCAAAACCGCATACTTCCATACTGTATAGTATGCTAAAATTTGTATGCCGGCTGAGTTTTATGTCCGAATTCAAAGAATTTGAAAATCAGTATGTGAGAAGTACCCAGATGACCTACTACTTCCTGATTCAGGTAGGTCACGTGATCATGTTAAAATGGCAGATGTAGTACATTCGAATTATATTCATACTGCTCACATTCATAATGTATAGAGTAGTACGTTTACATTCAAATACAGTACCTGCTGAGTAGTTGGCGGTTTTGAACCCAGCCTTGGTTTGCTAAATGATGATGTGCTTTTTTGATGTTTTGAAAGACAAATAGTATTAATGTATTAATTTTTATTTAATTGTTAAATTATATATATATATATATATATATATATATATATATATATATATATATATATATATATATATATATATATATATATATATATATATATATATATAGGCACAAAGCGCAATAAAACAAAAGCAATGCAACATTTTTAAACATTTAAAGATTTTTTTTTTTTTTTTTTTTGCAACGGTGAGGATTTACTTCATCTTGCTTTTTTACAGAGAAGAACATTTCAGAAATTGGAAGTTTGTTTCAGGGTTTTAAGAATAGTGTTTATTTCAGAAATGTTAATATTTGATGCTAAAAATGTTCTTGCAAAAAAGAAAAACTACTGGATTTAGCGTTTTAGCAAAATGGTTTACAAGTTGACCTCAATTTGGACTTTTAGAACCTTATTAGCTGCAAGAATTAGAGTCGAGTTCACTTGGTTCTCATGGTGTTTGATGACATTTAGGGAATTGAGAGCATTTTGAGTATCGTTGATGAAGAAGAACATCTAATTATTCTTTTGTAAATTAATTTATTTTATTGCTTTATTTATTACACATACAATATTATTATATTATTATTACAATATTACTTATTTTGTGCGTTGAATTTTTTTTACATTTCTTTTGATTACATTTTTGTCTATTTAAAAAGATAGAAAAAGCAAAAAAGAATCTAATTTATGTTGTATATTTTAAGTATAATGTGCTAAATAATGGGATGTGAAAAACTACATCTAGTCTTTTTCTGTATTACCAAATCAAAACCTCTCCTTTTTTCCTCTATTCCACCTCCCCCTTGTTTGACCCCTGGAGGGAAGCGCCACCAAAGCCCACCTGCACCAGCAGAGAGTCAATGTTTAAAGTTCAGCTCAGCGAGGGAAAAAACCAATCAGACTGGAGTGTGTGCAGAATTAATCACACTGTGGGCAAACTCTCTAGGGGTCGACTAGGACCCGCACGTTCATTACGAACCAGGATTTATATCGCCGCTGGACTGACTTATAGTCTCGGACGCACGCGCTCGTACATTCTTACGTCTAATATACCAGGCTGGATTTAACTATGTGTGTGTTCATAACAGTAACCAGAATGGGGGGTTGTTTTTAGCATTGAGCACACACTATTGGACCTCAGAGAGTTTCTGGGCCGACAGACGACTCTTTCTTTGGTTTAAGTTATGGTGATGCAGTAGGTTGTGCTAATAAGATTAAAGCATGGTGGGCTGCACACTGTTTAAAGACTCAGCATGCAGTTCACGGTGGGAGATTAATCTACAGAAGAAAGCAGACAAAGAGATTACAAAGTTGTGAAATTTTTGAATAGTCACAGGGTTTCTGAGATGATGTAATTTAGCAGACGATTGTGCAGGATTATTTAACATTTAATTTTTTTGCATATGTAAACCTATTTCACATAATTATGAACAGTTTGTTTAAATTATGGCTCTGGTAAATACTTTGGGTGGAAAATGTTCTATTTATTTGCTGTTTTATTTCTACTCATTTGTTTAAACACTATTAAACATTTCTTTTAATTTATGTAAAATTATTAACTTTTTTTTTAGCAATCACTAAAAATATGATGCATCTTTTTGTTCAATTTTCAGAATAGCTATATGGAATCTGAAAATGATGCATGATTTATTTCTTTACATTTTATCTTTTGGCATTTTTAAGTCCACATGGGATAATTTTGCACATTTCACTCAACAATCAGTGTAAAAAATTCAAGAAAAAAGGCATACACCATTTATTATTATTTATTTTATTTTATTTTATTTTATTTTATTTTATTTTATTTTATTTTATTTTATTTTATTTTATTTTATTTTATTTTATTTTATTTTATTTTATTTTATTTTACTACATGCCAGTCTTGTGGCATTTTGATTTAAGCTTTTAAAAAAAGTATACAACATTTATTTTGTTTTGTTTTGTTTTGTTTTTATTTTTTCCTTTTCTTTAATTTTCTATAATTTTGTTTTATTTTATTTTACTACATGCTAATATTGTGCCATTTTGATTTATGCATTTAAAAAAAGTATACACCTTTTTTTGTTGTTTAGTTTTTTTTTTGTTTTTTTCCATGTTTTTTCTTGTTTTTTCTTTAATTTAATTTAATTTAATTTAATTTAATTTTACTACATGCCAATAATGTGCCATTTTGACTTCGTCATTTATTTCCTTGTTAAGTTCTTTTAAATGTCCTTTTAAATCAATTATGCATAATTGTAGACATTTTCCTCAACAGTCAAATGGCATAAAATCAATTAAGTAATCATATATGAAGTGTTTAGTAAGTTTTATTTTTTATTTTATTGTTTATTTTACATATTTTATTTCCCTTGAACAAAAGCTTTGCTGACAAGGAATGAGATTCAGAAAGCTGCTCTGTGTCCTTCAGGTGCAGATGTGTGTATTCAGAGCTGTTTGTAGCTCATCTCAGGACATCTGCAAACCAAATGGCGGATAAACAAACATTTCATTGCTGGTTTAAATGATGTTAATTGAAAACAAAAATAGCCTTTGTGTACGTTATTTGTCAGTTGGTGAATCTTCACAGTCTGTGCTTGCTGCTCTTTAAAGCAAAGATGATGAGGATAATTTTTGGGGGGGGGAATAAAATGATCCAACAAAATCTGACTACACCAATAAGAAAAACAGTTCAGCAATGTATTTATGTGAAGTCACATTTACTATTCTTCTGCAGATTTTTTTACTGAAATATCCAGTCATTTCAATAGGAATCCACATAAAAGAGTTCTTGAAGATACAGTTGATGTCAGAATTATTAGTCCCCCTTTGAACGGAGCAAAACAATTTTCACAGTATGTCGGATAATATTTCTTCTTCTGGAAAAAGTCTTATGTGTTTTATTTTGACTAGAATAAAAGCAGTTTTAAATTTTTTAAACACCATTTTAAGGACCAAATTATTAGCCCCTTTAGGCAATATTTTTTTCGATAGTCTACAGAACAAACCATCGTTATGCAATAACTTACCTAATTACTCTTACCTACTTAACCTAATTAACCTAGTTAAGTCTTTAAATGTCACTTTAAGCTGTAAAAAAAGTGTCTTGAAAAATATCTAGTAAACTATTATTTACTGTCATCATGGCAAAGATAAAATAAATCAGTTATTAGGGGTGAGTTTTTAAAACTATTATGTTTAGAAATGTGTTGAAAAAATCTCTCCCCGTTAAACAGAAATTGTGGAAAAATATTGGCAAATATTTAGGGGGGCTAATAATTCTGACTTCAACTGTATTTAAAATAAATTTTTCCTAAAATAGTCACCTTGGTCAGCTCTTAATTATTAATTAGAAAAATCCCTGTACACAACAAGCATTTTTACACTAGATGTGTGTTTGTGTGTCTTATGTGTTTGCAGATTGGAGAGTTTTTCGGCATGATTGACCCCAGCCTAATGAGAAATCTGATGAACGTGTCCCTGTTTTCAGTCAACATAACCTACGACTACCAGGCCCTTTGCGAACCCACCAGAGAATCTAAAGCTGCCGCTGGTCTCAGATCAGTCTATGTGGTGAGTGCAAGTCCATTTGTAAACCTAAACAAATGTGTATAGCTTCAATCTAGTAGTGGCTTGCATGATGTTTTAAAGGAACTCCCATTTTTAAATCCATTCAGCTGATCTCTGGGTCTGGCAGAAGAACTTTTAGCTTAGCTTAGCATAGATTGTTGAATCGTATTAGACCATTAGCATCTCGCTCAAAAATGATTAAATATTTAAAAAATGAAAAGTTGCTAATTTCTTGTCCAATACAGTATGACCAGGAACTATAGGCTACCCGTATCCTGGTGTATTAATCAAAGAACTTTGCTGATGTACCATGGCTGCAGCAGGAGCAATGATAATATGCAGCACCTTAAAATTGGCTAACTTTTGTAAATATAACTAATGTGTCTACCTGCTTACACAAAAGTGTGCCTTGCAACCAATAAGACATTTGGAATTTACCTACGGTAGCTGCAGTCTATTTTCAGGTGCTGTGTAACATCATTGTATCTACTGCATCTATGAAATGGCAGTACGCCAGAAGTATAGTTCCTAGCCATCTAGCCTAGAAAATAACAACATTTCATTTTCCTGTTCGTCTTAGTAAACAATTAAATTACAAAAGTGTCAAGCTTTAAATAGAAAAATTATTGAAACTATTTTGGCATTTTTGTGCTAGATGCTAATGGTCTAATCTGATTCAATGATCTATGCTAAGCTAAGCTAAAACTGCTCCTGCCAGACCCAAAGATTGACCAAATGAATCCAAAAATGGTAAAACTCAACTGTTTAACTGTAGGGGAGCTGTAAAATGAGCCTATTTTCAAAGTAAGTGTTTCTGTAAGCACGTTTTGGCCAAGAAATCATCTATAAAACTGAATTTGCTCACATAACACATTTCTCTCAGACTATAAAGTTTAGTCATGGTGTTATTAAAGTTCATGTTAAGCTGATAAGTTAAGCTCACGATTGCCTCTCTGATCTGTGTGACTACAGTTTTGACTAAATCGCTCAAATCACGCAATCAAGCATGAATCATAACAAAGAGAGACACTTCCTCTCTCATGCTAATCATTGCAGCGTGTGCGGCGGCTAATCGTCCCCCGAGCGCGTTAGCTTAACCTTGTTTGTGGATTTATGCTTGCATCTGCTGAGCTTTCGTCTAATATCTCCCGTATTGTTTGGCAGCGGGTCCTTTCTGTCTGGCAGGGTCATGATAGATTGTTCTTGCCAATAAAAATCAGGATGTTTTGGAGATTCTTAGCTCCGGATATGCAACTTGCAAAGTTAGGCAAGAATGTTTGAGAGAGTTTAAAGTGCCACCTTGTAATTATAATACTGTGTTTGAGATTTTTGCCCATATATTTGTATTCTGTGGCAATTTATTTACATTATGTGATGCATTTGTTTGTTTTGTTTTTTAAATGTTTGAATTTTGTTAATCTATATATCATTTTCTCTGTGCACTGTAAAAGCAATTCAATATTTTACTTAAAAAAGTGGGTAAACCTGTATTAACTTGGAATTGTTACGTTGAATTAACTTACATTTTTTAAAAAGTGTACATTGTTCTTTTACTTGTAGAACAATATGTTTACTCAATTTTTACTCTATAGTGAAGTCAACAGATTGCTTTTTTACAGTGTATCAAAACGTTATAAGACATTACTGCATATCAAAACCATTCAGCCTACAGATAGAACCTTATAGATACAAAGTGGTGCTATGTTATATGCTGTAGTGTATGCCACTGTAGCTGATTTTAGAAAGGATATGGTACATAACTAAGATGGTCTCAGTGTTCTAGAACTTATAGTGGAAGTTTATTTTATGATTTATTTAACATTTCAATGTGTAAGCCTAATGTCTTGTTTGTCTCTTTTAGCCCACCATAGCTGATATCCTGAACATTGGTTGGTGGGCTTCTGCAGCAGCCTGGTATGTGAAGAAGGGTTTTTGAAATTATGCAAACTGATAATTATTTAACAATGCTGTCAAAACAGAAAAAATTCAAAACAACCATTGTTCAGTGGCATCTATGATTTTACATGAATCGGTTACGTGACTAAAATGCATCATCCTCCAGTTCACAGTGTGACATGAAAATAGCTTGTTCACATTATTCTAATGTAAAAAAATATATATCAAATGAAAACATATTAGTGTGGACATAGCCTAAATGCACGGATCTAATGTACTAGTATACATTTAATTTTCTCGCAGTTGTTTTGGTTTAAGTGGGACATTTCCCTAAAACTGAGTTTCTTTTATTTCTTGAATATAGGGCGGGTCCAATAAACGATTTTATATTAAATAGTGATAAAATTTGTCAATAACAATGATAAGCTCTGGATTTTTAACTCTACATTGGTATAAGAACCAATCACACAGCAGAAATGTGCAACAATAGGAATCTAGAAAAGTGTGTTGATATTAAAGATGTACTGAATTTTCGGCCACCGAAAATTTGTTGACTGAAAATCTCATGCTATTTGAGTAACCCTGTAATTTTTGTGGCTTCAGTCATTATTGGGCTACTCTTTTAAATTAACTATTTTTATCAAAATATATATCGCTACCATTCACATGGAAAATCGAGATTGCATTTTTTACAAATTGCCCAAGCCTGCTTAAACACAAAATACATTGTTTCTAAAAAAAAATAATTTTAGTAACCAAATGGTTATCATCGATTTCCATTGCGATAAAAACAACAACAACCTAAATTATCCTACGTTGTATGAGTCTCGAAATGTTGCAAAAGACTCAGGAGACAAGTTTGATGGACAAAGTCAAACTTTCTTATTATCAAAGTGGGTCCAATGTTGTTTTAGACTTTTTTACATTGATTCTTAACTGTTACTTTTTATTTCCCCAGGTCGATAATGCAGCAGTTGTTTGTCAGCATTACATTTCCTAATTTCCTTGAGGCAGGTAAGAACGTGACATTTGTAATTAATTGATAGGAAACGGTGATTAAGCCATTGGAATTTGGCAGGCGTCTGTTTGTTTTATCATCTGGTAAACTGCCAAAACTTCACTACTAATGAGTGTTAATTCATGGATATACAAAGCAGGACCACATATTGTGTTTCAGAAAGTCAAAGATAATAAAAATATGACATGAGCACAGTGTCAAGTTTCGAGTGAATGTGTTGTGCTTTGGAAAATGTATATTTTAACTGTTATTTTAAATATTTTTAAAGGCTCATTGATTTGAGTGGGTATTAATTAGGCTCAGAGTTTCAAATAATGACAATTCAATTGTGTTTTGTTCACAGTGGACATAAGTGATGAGTCTGAAACACCATCTAAAGAGAGTTGCATTAAAGAGCAGACGCAGTATTTCTTTGACAGCAATGACACAACTTTTAAGGGGACTGTTGATTGCCAGAACTGCTCCAGGTAAGATTCAAACTTTATCATAGAGGAAAAAATAAAACATCTATTTATTTTTTTTAAGGTTGGCATATCATTTAAGATATATAAATAATGCAGTTATGTAATCATTTATGCTTGTTTATTAATTTGTTTAGATTGCACATCATGTAATGCGCTATTCAAATTTTATTATTTAAATTGTGATTTAAAATGTTTTTTTAGTTGATTAACAGCCCGGATTGATGACCAAGCTTGTCTTTTTACACTTGAACTAGGCTGATTACTTTGTGTATATTTTTGTTTTCAGGCAGTTTATAGCTGAAAAGCTTATGAAGACAAATCTGGTGCTTATTGTTGCTGATACAGAGATGTGCAGCCAGATGTGTGAGGAAAAACCATTTTCCCAGGAAGAAAAGCCTTGTATCCTTTATAGACATGCAAACAAACTGAGACACACAATGATGATAGCACATCGACTCACTGTCAGTTTAAGAAAATTCTGGGTAGTATTTTCGGGAGCAAGATATCTGTGTCGCATCGCAATGCATCTCATGATTTCAGGTAAAAACACAACCTGTGTCTGATTGTTTTTTTGTTTACCGCTTCATCCGGACAGCTGATTTCAGTGGAAAAAGCGATTGACCAGTTCTTGAGTCATTACCCAGCGTCATTACCAGTCATTATCTTATCAAATATTCCATTTTGCTTGGAAATACATCACAAATGATGGTAAAATGGGTTGCAGAGTTTTATCTTGACTGTCTAGTGGTGTTCTCTATCAGGCTAAAGACTGCTTTGCTATTTTATCTTCCATTGTTTTCCTTTTACACAAGTTTCCTTACAGCGCTTTAGGGTTCAACCTTCTGGGTTCCCATGAGTCATTCTGGAATATCATGGAATTTTAAAAAGTCTATTTCAGACAGTAAAATCAAGGGGAATTTATATTTTATCACTGTTTTCCAGATGTTTTACCTGTGCAGATGAGCATTGTTATATCAGCATTTAATGTTATTTCAAATAAAAACAGTGCAGATGGCATGGCAGGAATTTGAACAGTGTCTTGGCTGGTAAAAAAAATAAAGGAAATCTGCAGAAATAGCAATTTAAAAAATGTAAATTTAAATATAAACTTGACACCATAATTATTATCCCTCCTGATATATTAGCCTAATTTATTATTATAACTAATTTCTAATAACAGATTTTTTTGTCACTAGACACTAGTATTCAGCCTAAAGTGCTATTTAAATGCTTAACTAGGTTATTTGGGCAAGTTAGTGTAATCAGGCAAGTCATTGTATAATGATGGTTTGTTAAGTAGACAATACAAAACAAATATTGCTTAACAGGGCTAAAAATATTGATAAGATTTTTTTCTGAAAAAAAGGGAAATACTGTGAAAGATTAAAAGATACTCTGTTAACCACCATTTGGAAAAATATTTAAAATAGAAAAAAATATATATAACACAGAAGGGCTAATAATTTTGACTTCAATGTTCATATTATTGGGATTTTTTCATCACATAAACATGATTGCACTACATATTAGCTTTCTTGTTTTGCTCAAGTGCATGATGCCTTAAAGTCTTTACATATTGTGGCCACACTTTACAATAAATTTCATTAGTTAATGTTAATTAATGCATTTACTAACATGAACAAACAATGAACAATACATTTACTACTGTATTTGTTCATGTTAGTTAATGAAAATAGAGCAGTTCATTGTTAGTTCATGTTAACTCATGGTGCATTAACTAATGTTAACAAGCATGGACTTGGATGTTAATAATGCATTAGTAAATGTTCAATTATGATTAATTAATGCTGTACATGTGTTGTTCATGATTAGTTCATGTTAGTAAATGCATTAACTAATGAACCTTATTGTAAAGTGTTACCAATATTGTGAATGTTCGATGAAACCATGACAAATGAAACTGTCAAAACTGTGATGGAACTTCCAACAATAGTTGGCAAGTTCAGTTTTTGAGTCACACCCTAGATTGGTTACTTAGCATATTAGCATGCTATTTCTGCTGATTTGAATCCTGAACCTGATCTCTCAGCTCCTGGTCCAGATCCCTGCTTGATATCGCAGAACCCACGGTATCGGAAAGGTCCAATGGAGTGCTTTGACAACAATGTCAATGTAAGTCGCCCAAACACTTTCTTTCTGAAAACTCAAAGTGAGAGCAAACTAGCTATTAGCATGACTTCATGAGCATCTTGCCTGGATCTCACGTGCTGCTCTATTCTACTAAAATGTTTTTTTTTTCCTGCTCTCATTTCAATCATTAGCTGATATCTACCACACTGAGACTTTAAATGGCATTGCTGAGGCAGAATGAATGTAAATGAACTATATTTGTCTCTGTGTGATAGATCTTGGATTAGGAGAGCTTGGCTTTGTTGTAATCTCGCATAAACATAGTTTTCATGGCTAAAACTATGTGGACGCCATCTTTTAACGGAATAGTTTTTCATTTAGAAGTGCATAGAGATAAAACAGATATACAATTATGTTATGGTGCATTAAAGAACCTAAAATAATGTTGTAGAACATTTTTGGATGGATTTAAGTCACTTTTAATTTTGAATTTAAATGTTTAGTGAAACCAAATAAGTGTGCTATTTAGGGGTCCACATACTTTTGGCCAACTAGCTTGTGTTTTTTTTTTCTAACCACACATTCACTTTCTGCTCTAAACACTCTCTTTTGACTTACTGTATTAATGCCTTTTGTTTCTGAGCACTTCTTGGTGTGTTGCTTAAACTTCTGACTGTCGGACATTTTTCTGCATGACTCTTTCTCTCTCTCTTTCTCTCCTGCTGTGTATTTGGCTGTGTAATGTACATTAGGATGAGGCCATGTGTAGGAGAAATGCAGGCTCTCCACTGCTCTCCTCTCTCCTCATGTTACTGCTGCCAGTGTTCATGTGCTGTCTCGGGTCAGTCCATCTCTCTCTCTCTCTCTCTCTCTCTCTCTCTCTCTCTCTCTCTCTCTCTCTCTCTCTCTCTCTATCTATCTCTCTTCTACTACAGCAAATTAGCTGCTAAAACAGCAGTCGTTTTGCAAATAAGCAAGGCTCTTAGGAGATAAAATTACATTTTTTCCTGTTTTTCTTTTGTCTAATATCTTTTCTCTTTCTGCTGTGCTTGTAATGCTTAATTGTTGCTTCTTGCATTAATTTTGGACTAATTCACTAACACAGTTATGATGAATAAATGATCAACAAGATATTAGAGTATATTTTATACTATTAGGTAGTTATCTGAGATCAATAATAAAAAAAATATTTGAATTGAGTGTAGTTGCATTCCTGCAATGACCATATGACAAAAAAATGATATATTATATTTTTCGCCCTTTTTCTGGATGCATATTATTAGACACTAAATAAATAAAACATATACTTATTTACACGATTTATACAAATGCATAATGTAACAATGTAGTCACTGATTATACTGTACAGTATATTTGTTTTGAACTGTATGTGTTTTAATTAAAAAATACATAAATAATGTAAAATAGGGACCATTTATGTTTGTGTATATATACATGCAATGCTTTGAAATAACTGATTACATGCAGGGGCACTGCTGGGGGGGAGTTTGGATGATTCTAAGGGCCTACGCCATTTTGGGGCCTCCAGAGTTACTATTAGGGGGCCCAACCACCAGCGCTTAAATTGTAAATGAATAATTCCCAGAACAAAACCAGGAAATAAGCGTTACCGTGACCGATGTCCACCAAGCTATTTTAGTTTTCCCATAACATGACATCAGTAGATGGTGATAGTGCAAAAAAAAGAGCATCACATTTCTAAACGGTCTTTATTATTTTGTGCCATATAACTTTAAAGGTCAGTCATGCATTATAAAACATGCAGCTACAAACAGAAATTGTATGAACAATCACTATTCAGCTCACTTCACTATTATGTGCCAAGGGGAAAAAAATATTAAGTGATTCACCCTGTCTAATCTTCATGAAAGAGCCCACAGGTACCTCTTCTGTCATGTTTTCTGCCTGAGTTGAGATCGATTTGCTTCTGTTTCCTGCTATTCTGATCCATTCATGATCCTTCATCTTGAGATCTCTTTTGATCAGGCTCATTATCAGATTTACTTGTGGCTTTAAAAAATAAAAATATACGTGACTGCCTCTTTGCCATTTTGAAAAAAAAATATTATTTATTTTTGCTGCTTTATTTGTGGTCTCACCAACCAGTAAGTGTGATTGTAAACATAAGAAAGCTGATTGGCTGAAAATATTGTCAAACGTGACTTTTGTTTTAACTTGCGCATGGTGAATACCGCCATGTGTGTGCGCGCACACAACATCCACACAGCCTTTGCTTGCACTCATTCACATTCTTTCTCTTTTTCTCTCTCTCTCTCTCTCTCTCTCTCTCTCTCTCTCACACACACACACACACACACGTAGGTATTCATTACGCACAAGTTAATGCCGGATTCATTAAAATAAATACGGGAACGCAAAACATGAATATATGACATGTTCTGGAACAGGATCTGACAAGATCCGGCTCAAATTAAGCATTGCCTATCCTCCGTACCGGCCAGCGGTACCCCTTGTAACATGTAATCTAAATTTCATAATTAGACCAATTTTTTTTCCCTTTCTCAAAATGCTACTGTGTAACTGCTAACTGTAATTATTTTTTATTTTCAAAATCATATATGATCCATGCTTCTGGCTCTGAAGGGGAAAAAAGCATGTTAGGTCAAATGTAATCTAAAAGTAATCCGAAAGTACTTGATGTTACTGATATGACATTTTCAACCCAAACTCATTCTGTTTACTTATCCCTATATACATTTTTGGAGAGAGCAAAATACATCCCAGGAGCTTCGTCTTTTTGTCGTTTTTGTTTTCGCCAGTCCACCAGAGGCTTTTATGTACACTTTGTCAGATCTCAAATTTCTCTCGCCAGTGCCATTCGCACCTGCTGTTCTCACATAAATCCACCAGAAGGACTTACTCTTACTGACTAACCACCCCCCCCCACCCACCCCCACCATTTTTCTTCCCTAAACCCAACCAATAGTGTTTTAAAAACCACAGATTGACCCACCCACCCCCTTCCCTAAATCCAACTGCTGTGTTTAAAAAGCAATCCAGAAAAAGAAAAGCCCTCTGATTTTTACCACATTCTCTATTTACTTGTTTATTTTAAATTTTTTGGATTCTGTTTTTGTCTTACCTGCTTTCTGGAACCGTTCATCACCACACTCAAACCTTGTTGTCGCAGTCAACTCTGCTCTGAATGTTTCTCAAATCTGCCGACATACATGTTGAGCTACCGGACAAACTAGTAACAGTGGAAAAGCTGTCTATATGGAAGTAATCGGTCAGCTGGTAAGCGAGAAAAGAAACGGCATTATACCGCCCGGTAGAGTTCGTATTAAAGATGCAGCCATACATAGCTCTGGCTACATATTTTGCAATCTCCAGAAATGTATATAGGGCTACGTTTTCAGAATGATTTTCTATGATATTATTTGTAACCAGTGACATACAGGATTTGATTTGTCTGTAATCTACCCAGCCGTGTATATGTAAAAACTACGTAGTATTTATCTACAGTATTTCCGCAACCAAAATTTTACTTCAAATCATCTTACAAATGAGATTGAACCATTAAATCTCCAGCAAACTTACAGGCTTTCTTTTATCATCATTGCATCAGGAAAATAATGAGCCATGTGGAGGGGCAACAAGTCTGACTCCATCTCTCGTGTCCATGGGCATCCTCCAGCTGCTGCTGCTGCTCTGGCTTCTGATTGGACGAGAACACTGCCTCTCGTGACCTCATCACACAGAGAAGCCACCACACCCCCTGTACGATGCCAAAACACAGACCACATCTGAACGCTCATTCGGACTCGGCCCTGCACATGGAGGGAGATCCTTTGACCCAGGAAGTACCAAACCGACACCGCGATCACTCACAGTCTATAAGGTCAAAGTAGGTCAGCGATGATAAATGAGCAGCGAACTTTGACATTTGACCTCTGAGTTTGGACTCTCTCCACATGAGCGACAGGGTGGGCAGGTTTACCTAGGGCGTACGTCTACATCCCGCCTTTGTAATGATAAAATAATGATCTAATTGCAACACTGCCAACCAAAGTTTTGCCCTTTACCGGTCTGATGCCTTTTCGTTCTCCAATATATTTACACGGCTAATTTCCTCAGAATTACAAACTGTTTATATGTGACTTTTACGGCCTTGTCATTGAGATATTTAATGGAGCCCTCCGGGTCACCTTAGAGTCCAGCCTTCTTTGTGGTCTGCAGCCCATTACTGAGAAAAAAGGGGGACAAATGAGCAAACAACCCAATGGAAAAAGTTTTGTTTTTCCCAGTGGTGTCCACCTTCTGTGCCTCGGGAATATCGGTTTCATTTCCGACTGAACAATCCCTCCCTCCTTCTCTTCATTCGATACCCGTATTCACTATATCATGCTCATTTTTAGTGCATTAAAATGTGCACAGCTGCCAAACGTTACCTTGTGTATGTGTGTGGTCTTGCTGTACTTTGCACTTGATGCCAAGCAAGGTCGTGTGGCCAAACGAGCCCTTTACTTCTTTAGGGCTGATTCAATCGTGTAAAGGCCTTTAAACTCGCAAAGTTGTCCTGGTTGTGAATATGAAGAGAAGATCTTGTAATTGCATGTGTTTTTTATTGTTTATTTTAGGCTGCGTTTACACGACAGTTCCAACTGTTTTATTTGTTTCGGCCATTGGTTAACATAGTTAACAGAGCTTTTGGTGCTTGAAAATGAAAACATGGGTTTCAACGTGAATATTTTTGACAATTATGTCATTATTGTCTCATTGTAAACAACAGAAAAGAGAATCTATATAAACAGCCATGTCATGCACTTTAATAGTGATTCACTGGTATGGACATTTTGGCTGATTACTAATAACTCTTTATATATAGAAGCTGATAACTGAGAAAAAGGAAAATAAACAGTTATTGATATGCGTTTGGAAAGATTGGCCGATACTAATAACTGTTAAATCTTCATATTTTAAAGCCAACAATCAATAAATAGGCTGATTATTAATTCTGGACATGGAAAGTTTGTGTGAAGCCTTTTAACTTTTTATAAATAACCGATTATTAAACCGATAATCATTATATAGAGAGATAAAGACCAGATTACTCTTCATAATTATAATCTTATAATCAATATATTGGCTGATAATTATTCTGAATAAGTAAAGTTTGTGTGAAGCCTCATAACTCATTATAATTGGAAACCGATAATCATCATATAGACCGATAATTATTATTATCGATATTAAAAATGAAATATTGGGTGAAACTAGATAACTCTTCATAATTATAATCTGATAATCAATTTATATGCTGATTATTAATTCTGGATATGTAAAGTTTGTGTGAAGCCTCATAACTCATTATGATTGGAAACCGATAATCATTATATACACAGATAAGTACAATTATTGGTATTAAAATTGAAATATTGGGTGAGACCAGATTACTCTTCATAATTATAATCCGATAATCAAAACATAGGCTGATAAATACAATTCTTGCTATGAATATTGAAATTTTGTGAGACACAATAACTACCACTCTTCTTATTTGAAAACCGATTATCTCAACTCTATCTTACAGCAATTCGAAACTTTTTGATCTAGTGGCTAATTCATATGAATACGTATGATCTCATTTTTACAATTTAGTACTATTTGCTTATCCCCCAGTGACGGTTGGGTTTTGGAGTGGAGGTGCCACGCCTTCTTTTTAAACGACTGGACTCGTTTAATTAGCCACTTTTAATTAGCTGAATTAGCCACTTAACTGACTAAACGTAAAATAGTTACGTTTCCTACTGAGATCAATCTGGATAATCTAAATATACTGAATGTCTATAAATACAGTTCTTGATAAAATGTTATTTAATTATTTTTTTTTTTTTATGAAACCAAATAATTCTCTATATTTAGAAGGTGTTATCAATGTAGAGGTCTATAAATACAATAATTGACATTTTGGATAAGAACCGATATTCCTTTATATATGAGCCTGATAATCAATTTATGCAGATGAAAACAAATCTTGATTACAAATTAGCCAATAATTCATTTTGTTTTTGGTCAGATAATGATAACATTACAAATAAGAATATATTGGCAGATTTTGGTATCTGATGGTAGATGTTAGTGGCTGTTGTAATGAGCATCACTATTATGTGTTCTAATCAATTTATCTATAGATATATATAGGAGTACCAGCAAAGCAACACTAATTTTATGAAGGACTATTTGTACAAAGACACACAATGTTTATTTATTAAGTAACATCGACACAGTGACACTTGTCTAGCATACTTAATATAGAATGTTCGGTCACCTTGACAGATCTCTATGACTTATTTTTTATAAATGTGCATAATTTTGAGTGCATCATTGTCTTGTAAACGCACCCTAATTTTGTTTAAGTTATTTTTAATAAGCAAAGAATTTTCTGCTGTATGTTAAATGTTTTCTGTGATCTATTTAATGTATGCGTGTGGATATTCAGAAACTAAAGAGTGAAAGCCAAGCATTTATGACATAGTTGATCTTTCCCACATTTTAATATCATCTGGAGAGCTTGAAAGGGTGGAAAGAAAATCACCTAATGTTTACAGATATTTCGAGACACTCGAGAGTTTTTGTAAGAAATGTTGCCCCTGCTTGAGTTGTCTTTCAGGAGTCTCCGACGTGTCGTTTTTCACTTATATGTCAGAGGCTAAAATTCTGTCAGCCTTTCTTTCCTGTCAACGTGCCTTGTTATAAGTGGTTACTTATAAAGTTGAAGTGAAGGAATATCACAATGTGCAATCTGACCCTGGTCGCTCTGTGGAGAAACGTTAAATATCATCATTCGGATCTGACTAACGAAACTTCCCGTCCCTTTAAGAGATCCTGACTGCTTCTTTGTTCCTCAATGAAATCTGGGCCACAATCCAAGCTTTACGGAATAATTAAGATTTTGAGAAGAGACAGGAATAATTATGGAAGCCCCGACCACAGACAAAATCAACATGTTTTTTTAATAGTTTCTACGTTTTTTTGTTAGTTTATTATGACAATAATAAAATCTATTATTGTTATTATTATTATTATTATTATTACTATTATTATTACAGTCGATAATATTATGGTTTAGATTTTTTGTAAATGATAATAAAAAAATTAAATTAAAATAAATAATAATAATAATAATAACGTGACTGATTATAAATACTTGTTTTTTTTTGTAAAAAACCAAAGTATTTATTTGTATTTATTTGAGTTTGAATTTGATGAGTTTCTAACTGTATTTTTAATTTAAATTTTTTTTTTATTTAATTTTTTTTTTTATGAGGAAGGAGGATTCTTGGCCAACACTCAATATATTCAATGTGCAATTAATTATAAAGTGTATTTGAAGTACTCAGTTAATAGCAAATTTCTGCAAATTATTACTGTCCACCGAACCTCATTTGTGTTGTGTTTAGCTAAGTGTGTATATATGTACAACTTTTTTTTTGTCTCTGTCAACACTGATTACCATTGTCGTGTTCTTTCTCATTTTAGAAACTTAGACAAACAGGAAATTAAAAGACATGAAGCTCTACATTCTTGAGATGAAAGGCGAACGACTTCACGCATCATTTCATCTGTACACAGGAAACAGTTTTGTTAATGCACCTGAAAACCGCATAATTGGACTGCATGGATTTGGCTTGCATTGAAAAGCCATTCTTTCCTTGATTCATCACCTTATTAGAGCATTCTAGAAGTGACGTGCTTTAAATCAACATATCCCTCCTCCAAATAAATACCACAAATATTCTAGTTAATTGACTGTCGAAATGAGAAATTATTCAAAACATCTTCAGTTGCAGACCATTAACTTAATAAATTACTTGTTAATTAGTCAAATACTGTATGACTGAACAAAGTAAAATATGCTGAAATACGTCTACACGTATTTACTTTTAGTGCCATAGAACTATTTTTCTGTCAAAAAGTAGAGTAGGTATGATGTGTTATGCCTTACTTTAAAGGTTGTCAAATTTTAAAAAGCAACAAATTATCACCTAAAGTGCACATTAGTGTCTAAAAATAAAAAAACTGTACCTTTTTACATTGCAGGGAAACTCTCCTGGTCAGAGCAAAGCCGTTTATATAAGTATGTATGTTTATCGGTCATCTGTCAGAATGTTTAATCAGCAGCTCTGTCTTCCTATTGTGGATTTCTTTAGCTGTGGTGTATCATTTTGCCATTTTTCAATTGGAATCAGTGCGATTGTGAGCTCTGCATTTGGTTGAAAGTTTTACCCAAGGAAATGTATAAAAATTTGTTGGATTAAAGAATAGAATGTATTTGTTTTGAAAGTATTTTCTAGGTTAGCTGCAGTGGTGTAGCGGAGTTACAGCCCCCAAAACATGATCTCTGATGAGGGGGAAACTGAGACGCCGCTGGAACGAGACGTATCCCAATCTTGACGGTGTAGGCTAACCTTAACCTAAAATGTCCAAACGGATTTGGGACCAGTATGAATGAAGATATGAAGTGTCTCTGGAGTTGTTTACGGGAGCCTTTAATAAAGGTGAAAGTGTTTCAAAAAGACAGATGTTTAGTGGAAATTTGAGATCATCTTTGTCATTTCTCAGTAAAAAAAAAATGAATTTTTCACAAGAACTGAGATGATGAAAAGGCCTTTCTGTAGACTTAAAAACTAAATATTTTCGGAGTAGAGCCTTTTGAAGCTTCCCTTTTGGTTCTTAGTGGGTTTTAGGCTTGACCACACTTTATTTTACTTTCTTGAGTGCATAAGGTGACTCTGTACTTTTTTACAAACTATTTTTAATAACTAAATACTATTCCTGAACCTACCTTAAACTTAAACCATGTAGTTACCTACACTGTAACCAATTGTTGTCATTTAAACAGTAAAGTACTGTAATATGCACATTAAGATACAATTAAGTGTAACATTTATATTACTGTAAATTACAAAGGATTATAGAGAAAATAAACCATAACTTCCTAAACAATTTCTTCCTACTCTAAATCTATATTTAGGCCTCTAATCCTATTTACATTATTGAACTTGACTTCAAAAAACTGACCAATGGCAAAGAAGATGTATTTAGTGTTCACTGCAGTGTTCACTACAAATTAGAATTGATGAATTAGGTTAGTATATTATATTACTTTTATTAAAACTGGCATAATTTTGAATGCTTTCACGTGATAAACAGCAAGTTAAGACACATCGTGATATTTCTCAAGGTGCTTTAAAGAATCTCTGCTGCATTTCCGCCATAACACTGATATAACACTGGTGAGAATGTAAAGATAGCCTCTAAAAATATAATTGAACCAAAACAATATAACAGTGGTATGTTCTGGTTATTTTGTCATGAACAGTTGATAAATGTAGCTTTAACAACAAACTAGCATGAGAAGTGAGTCAAACAACACTGTTAGTTTAAAAATCCCATTTTTAAACAGCATATCTGTGTTTTAATATCAAACTTGTGGTCTGGATGGTGTATATTCTTATAATGACTCTCGAACAGTTAATGCATCAATTGGTAAATTAAGCTAGCGTCAATCAAATGAACCTGTTTAAACTTCATGCATAGATTAGGTGCAATCATGTGTAGTATGTTTTGGTGGTCATTTGGCTCTTGTTTGAGTTAGTCTGGTTTTTGGGTGTTGGATTGGAGGGTTTATTTTCAGTCCTTCTTAATTTATCTTTAATTCAGTGTGGTTTTGCTTCCGGAAAACACTTTTAACGTTAGCAAACCAAACAATGCCAAATATAGCATGTACTTAACACAGTCTGGGTTGTAGTTTCTTTTAGTTTAGTTGCATGGATTTTGAGGTAATGATTTTCAGTTATCAGGTTGGGATTGGCCTAATTTTAGCTTGAAAATATCTTTAATATCAAAATTGAATTTAATGAGCTTCATTTTATATTAATTGTTACATTTAATTTAACAGTTATTTAATATTTAATTCAATATTTTAATTCCTATATAATTTAGTTTCATATTTTATTTAAATTAATATTTGATTGAAACTTAAATTTAATTTAGGATTCAATTGATAATTAGCATAATACTCAGTTAAATTCATATTTATTTATGTAAATATTTTCATTTAATTATTTTTAAATTTAGTTTAATATTAAATTAATTAAATTCCACTAAATATACAGTATCATCTATAAATGGCATTAGCAAAATCAGATGGATTGTAGAAAACTCTTGATTTAAATGTTTACCTTATTTAAAAATATTTATTAATAAAAATAAAAAGTAAAAATAATAATGTAAGGCAAAATACGAAAAAATACTATTTATAAACCAGCAATTATGTAAATTCATGTTCATGAAGTACATAAAGTCTTTAATATTGCTATGTCCGTTTCGTTGACCATTGCGGCAGTGACAGATTTCTGTTTTTCTTCTTTTCTGAAATCACTTCTTCTTGTATTTGTCCTGGCGCCAAACATTTTTCCCCATGTATGTCAGAGGGAAGTCGAAGTCTGCAGTTTCTCTTCTCTCATGTGACTTTCTTCTGTCATCAGCGAGGACTCGCACCGAGCCAACGACAACACGGCCCTCCATTCACTCCAACCCACTGTTATCTGACTGCCATCGCTTTTCTGCTGCTCCATCTTCATATGCACAACCGCTCCATCTGCTTTACTTTCTGATCCCACACTGACGCTTGAAACCAGCCTGCAGGTATACAGGGTTCAGGGTGTGCACTTGTTTACAATTGCTATATATATATATATATATATATATATATATATATATATATATATATATATATATATATATATATATATATATATATATATTATTATTATTTATTTATTTTTTTTATTATTATTTATTTATTTATTTATTTTTTGTCGAAAATTAATTTAAATGCAGTGCAAAAACATTCATTTTAAAAATGAAGCATTTACAAATCACGCTAATGCAAGTTTATATCTCACAATTAAATCGTTTTTCTGTCAGTGCACTGTTTACATATTGAAATTCTGATATTTTTTCCCTCAAGAGCTCATACAAACTTGCTTTTTCAAATTATAAATTTCCAAATTTTGAAATAAACTCAGAATTGCATATAAATGTCTCAGAAAGATAGACGGTGAATTTTATTATTAACTTCTGTAACCTTTTGATTTGATTGAATTTGTCTTTTTTTTAAATGCATGTTGTCAGATTCCTTAGAATTAAGTTAAATCTATTAAAATTGAATAGTATTTAATAATTTAAAAGATATAAATATGGTATAAATATATCTAGAAAAGATCAAATCCAATTAGTTAAATTCTATGAGATTGGTTTACTTCATATTCGGGGTCAAAATTGCTGTAGTTCCATACCCGCACAATAGATGAATTAATATGACGCATTTTGAAACACATTGGATTTATTGATATTATTGCATCAATTTTGTTCTTAATTGTTTTTTTTTATTCATGTTTAACTAACACAAGTTTACTAGTTCAGTTATGTTAAAAGTAAGTAATCCAAATGGATGGAAGTTTTACATGCAATCAGAATACATACATCTTATTTGTTAGGCCTAAATATTTTTGGAGTGTATTATGGTGGGGGAATGTCATAAATCTGAGTTTATAACTCAAAATTGTGAGATATAAACTTAACATTTAGGATTTTAGCACATAATTCTGTGGGGGAAAAAAATTCTGTTAGACAAAATATCATATCACTTGATTTTGGTTTCATTTTAATTCACATTCTGTTACATTCATTTATTCCTTCATTTTCTTTTTGGCTTAGTCCCTTTATTAATTCAGAGAATCATTCGTTAGGACAAAGACTTGCTGCCACCTACTGGAGGTTTATATTTAACAATGAAAGGATTAAACCAACCAAAATAAAATCACACCCTGAAGGAAAAAACAGATCTTTTTTTTTTTTTAAATACAGGGTCATTCCTGCATTTATTGTCAATATCAAATGTCCCATTCTGCGCTGTGTGACTGTTAAAGTTCAATTACAGTCCTCACAGTGTTTTTCTTACATATAACATTACATATGTTACTGACTGGAGGGAGGAAATAAGCTGTAATAATAATGGCTGAGGCATTATTAAAACTGTCAGTCTTCTGATTCTGCCTGCTTTAACAGAGAAATGTAAAATATTTTGTGGATTGTAAAGCAGTACCGTAAATCTTTGATTTGGTGTGAAAAGTGCAGGTGTGAGACGGACAGCATCCACCACTGATCTGGTTCTTTTTGCTTTGAAATGTTGTGTTTTATCTCAGCACAAACAGCTTTGCTTACTCTTGCCGTTCATATTTATTTGTCTCACAAGAATGAGTAAATACAGAAGAAAGAGGTGCCAGATGTGGAGAATGACTTCAAAGTCCGCATTAAAAGCAGCACTGACCCTATTTATACTTGCATGATAACTGTATTATTTAGATTTTCTAAAAGTTTGCATAATGAAAAAACTTCTGTTGAGATTTTTTAGAATCGCTCTCTACTGTTTTTTTATGATTATTATTTTTATAAAAAATAAATGGCTTTTGTAAAATTTAAAGTCAAAATAAAACGAATACTTACAGTTTTAATTCAAGTATAAATTTATTTAGTTATTTATTTAATTCAAATCCACATGAAATAAAAAAACTATATTTTATTGAATATATTGTACTAAAAAATGTATTTAATTAAATGGTAAATTTAATTTTTAATTAAATTACAATCGCATATTAGATTGAATACAGTATTTCATTAAATTCAAACTGTAATTCTGTTATCCATTTAATTTAATATTTAATTTGATATTTAAATATGTAATACTAAATTCTAAATTAAGTGTATTTTAACTGTATTAGCACCTTAAATTGCATTCAAAATTAAACTCATTTAATTATTTAAAGAAATTTTTTAAAATATTTTTTATATAATTTATTTTAATTATCAGCCAGTATATAAACTATATAAAAATAAATTTTACAATAATAGAATTAATTTAAGTGCTATTTTCTGTCACATTTTATTTTTAATTTAATTCAATCTTGTTTAATTCAATTTAGTTAAATTGATTTTAATTTAGTTTAAATTTAATTAAGTTAAATTAAATTTTGTAGAATTTAATTAAATTTTGTTAATTTCATTTAATTTTGTTTATTTTATTTAATTACATTTCTGTTTATTTTAATTTTATTTATTTATTTATTTTATTCACAATAGTGCCTATTTGTATCTCTTGATTAAGAATCCTCTAAGTTAGTCTTTTATTTATTTATTTTTCTTCAACAAATTTTTGGAATTTCTTCTATCCTCTCAACAAGGCCTCATTTCACAATGCGCCGC